TCTTTTGACATTTAGAAAATTTAAAACGCAGTGCGCATATAAATATTTCCGATGCCTCAGACTGGGTAAATTCTACCAAACTCCTATATGTTGGCAAATTCAAGCTCAACGTATGTATGGTACTGCAGCAATTTGAGTTGGAGGTATACCCTTCATGGGAAACAATCTCCGAAGTCTTTGTGTATTTTTTATCCGACATTATTCGCGATATATTGAAGATTTGAATGTGCGCATATAATTATTTCGCGGACTGTACGATGCCCACCCCCTCGGTCCATCCCGACAAACGTTGACGAGGAAGGAGCGTACAACATGGACACGTCCTGCCAACCAGCCCTTTTGCAGGCATTCGTCGCAGTTCTGCGACTCGCGTGCCACTCTACCGGTGATGGAGGTGGCGCCCCCGTCGATGGCAGCCATACGAGCGCTCACTATAGATCGTAGTAGTTGCCACTACCGCCCCACAGCACAGCGTCGATGTAGTATAACCCCCCGCAAAGATTTCTCTGCCTTATGTCGTCCTTGCACCACAGGCCAAGACTGGATCTCTCCCTTGTTTGGCAGTGCCAGCCCAGACACACTGCACGAAGGTGCTGGTCGTGCCGCTTCCTCCATGCTGCATCCTTTTGCGCCTCTCGACTTGGCGCACCCCTCCGAAACATCACAGGCGCATCTCACCACGAGGATCGTGCCTTCTCGCCCATTGCGCAAACGACGGAATTCCGCCGATCGCATTGGCTCAGTTCACGCAGCAACGACTGCAAATAGACCAATCAAAGGCGAATGTTAGAAATCCTGATGTCTGATTGGCCCATCCATCTCCCATACGATTTGCAGCACGCAGCATGGCAGAACTTCTGGCACAGCCCACTTCGACGCCGCCGAGTCAAGCCCACCGCAAGTGCTGCTGCTGCCATATCTTTGGTCATGTACGCCTTTAAAGTCCTTTCATCCCATGACCTGGTCCACAGCATCGCGAGCTTCCAACGGGGCGTTTGCGTTGATGACGCGCCGATCACTCAACTCACACACACAGCCCCGGACCTGCGCGGAATCCCCGCCGTCGCCGACTTTTTCAAAACGATCTTTCATGACACATTCGAGCAGTGGCTTGCGCGTCTAGGCGTCCCTGGCCTTACTCGGCTCATCGCCACCACATCGACTGTCCCTCGACACGTGATCTTTGCCTACGCGGCGTGGGTGGGCAACTTGTCGCTACTCCGATTCCTCTTGGCACAGTTGTCGACGTCCACGATCGCGTCGCTACAATCGTCTGCGTTGCTGCTTGATCTCGCAGCCACCCAAGGACACATGCAAGTCGTGACCTTTCTTCATGCGCGGCCCGGCCAGCGCGCGTCGACGGCCGCGATGAATGGCGCTGCCGCCAATGGCCACTTGGACATGGTCCAGTTCCTGCACACCCATCGTGTAGAAGGGTGCACGACAGAAGCCATGGACGGTGCTTGCGAGCGAGGACATCTGGACGTCATCGAATGGCTCAGCCGCGTGCGGGAGGCCAGGTGTACCGTTCGGGCCCTCGAGGCCGCCGCGACCCGCGGCCACTTGCACGTGGTCCAATTTCTCGTCGACGAATTCGGGATCCTGTGCAGTGCTAGCGCCGTTCTAGCCGCTGCGCGCGCTGGCCACAACAGTGTCGTGCGATTCTTGTCGCAACGATTGCTTGACAAGGAGACTGCTCGACAAATTATACGAGGGCAAGCTCGGCTGGCAGGCAACGCGCGCCACTTGTCGCAAGTACTGTCGGCGATGTAAAGCTCTAACTTGATGGCCCTGTCGTCTGTCGTAGTGTGTGCTTGCGACAGTGCAAGTCGATTATTCGTGCACGGGCGTCGCTGAACAAACGAAATACGCTGCCGTCAGCCATGCTCGCAATCTGCTTCGTTGACAAATAACGTGGGGGGAATAAAAGGTCGTCGTATTAGTATTGCACAAGGTGGGTTGTAGCATCACACCAGTACCTCGGAGCTGGCAAACACGGGGGTTTCGGCGATTTCTCCAACCATTTTTTCAGGATATTTGCTTCGTTTGTCGTGGACGCCAAGGGAAGCGCCTTTGTCGTTGGGCCCGAGGACAAACGGCATGCCGTGATGATGGTTGGTTTGCACCGGCGAAATAGATAGCCTTGCGCACACATCACCCCTTATCCTCACGACAAGGCACTGCGCATCGACTGAGCCGCACCACCCTCCAGCACCTTTCTCACATCGCGCGCGCGCCAACGTCGTGTCGCGGTGGTGTCTGCTGCCACCAATTTGGAACTCCGATTCCGAAAATTCCCAAACTTCAACAGTCCAACTCGACAATATATATGCAATTCTATTCGAGTTGAATCAAGGTCCTTTCCTATATTACTTCTCCAAGTGTATATGTACTAGTCCATATGCATGCTATTTTCAATATGCCCATGTGACATATCCATCACAGCAGTCACCCGTGCGACCGCATTCGATCTACTCAACTGGCGTCCCTGCAGAAGGCCGCGGCAGCGTCGCGGAGCTTGTACGGGGCGAGAGAAGTCCCACGAGCGCGCCATGCATTAGGACCTTGCTCGTTGGAATGCTTGTTCGGAAGATCGCGGCGGTTGAACGCTCCATCCAATCTGCGTGTCTTTTCCGCCAATGGCCGCCCGTTACACTGGTGGAAATACACATTTGTCAATTCGTCCATCGAATATGGCGGCGCCGGAGGGAGGGAGTGGTGCGGCCACCACCGACCGTCTGCGTGCTCCACCGACCATGGTCCCGTCGGCGACGTCTACGTCGTTTACGAGCGACTTTGTCACGCCCCGCAGCGACAACCCGAACAACGCGATTGACAGTTGTGAGTACACGGCGGCGACAGACGACAGGCCTGGCACGGCCAAGCCACGGCGTCACAAACTCCACCGTGGCGGCCATTCGTACAGAAACCTCCACCGCACGCAATCGCGCGGCCTCCTGACTCGACTCGAATCGTTCATTCACCCAGACCATGCCAAGTCGCTGGCACCGACGCGAGTGTTGTACCTCTCGGTCGCGATTGCGCTTGTGGCGGCATTTCAGTCGGGGTGGCTCCTCTCGCAACTCAACTACCTTCCATTCAACGCCGGCTGTGGAGTTGTCCCGATCGCTCCAGGCACATGCATCATGTTTGCCGGCCATTCCAAGCGAGAGTGGACGATGGCCGTGACGGCGTGGATCGTTGGCGCCGCCATCGGCGCCGGATTGAGCGGCTACCCCGCCGACAAAATCGGGCGCAAGCAAACGCTCCGGTCGAATGTGTTTATCATGGCAACCGGGGCGACTGTCCAAGTGATTTCCCACGACATTTACACGTTTTCAGTCGGGCGATTGATCTCGGGCATCGCGTCCGGCACTGCCATCAATGTTTCGAACGTCCTCATTAGCGAGATCTCGCCGTGCGAAATGCGAGGCCTTTTCTCTACGGGAATCCAAGCCGCCGTGTCCGTTGGGTCCCTTTGTGTGACCACGGCGCACTATGCTGTCGGCACGACCCACGAGCTCGCGTGGCGTGTGCTGGTCGGGGTGCCGATTGGGTTGGCCGTGGCCCAACTCCTCTTGATGCCGTGGATGGCGCAGAGTCCGGTGTGGCTCGTCAGCCAGGGTAAACTGGACGACGCGACGATCGCGATGAAGGCGTTGTACCAGCCGACAAACTTCAAGGCGATTCTGCATTCGCTCGTGGCCGGGCATGCAGACGAGTCGAGGGAACTCGCGGGGGTGAGTCCTTGGAACGTGCTCTTTTCCAGCAAGTTCCGCCGCCAGCTCGTGATTGCGGTCGTGCTGTGCATGGCGCAGCAGCTTGGCGGCATCAACGCGATCATGTACTACTCGGCAAGCATCTTCAATCGGGCGGGGGTGTCGGATCCGCGCATCGCCAACACGGTCGTCAACGTCATCCGGACAACAGCCATCATCACGGCGGCCAAGATCATGGACAAGTTTCGACGCAAGACACTGCTCGTGGGTGGCATGTCGATGATGGCGGCGTCAGCGGGCGGCCTCGTCGTGAGTCTCGTTTATGCCAACGCGGCAGGGTCCGTCGTCTGCGTCTGCGTGTACATTATCGCGTACTGCGTCTCGATCGGGTCCATGGCATGGATGGTGTCGGCGGAGCTCTTTCCAGACTTTCTCAAGGCCGATGCCGGGTCCGTCGGGACCTTTTCGACGTGGGTAAGCAACTTTAGCGTGGGTGTGTTTTACCCGCTCTTGGCGGACGAAGATGCGCTTGGCAACTACGCATTTTGCATCTTCATTGGGTGCCTCGTCGTCGTCGTCTCGTTCGTGCTGGCGCTGGTGCCGGAGACGGCCAACAAAACGTATGCGGAGATCGAGGCCGCGTTTGGCATTGCCCAGCCCCACGACGCTGAAGCGCCCTTGTCCCCGGGACTTTCCCCCGACCATGATCCGTGGATTACAGTATGTTGCGACGACATTGCCGTGTCGGATGCGCCTGCGCCGCCCCCTGTGCCCAACGCACTACCCGCCCCCATCGCCGAGAACGCAAGCGACGAACGGCGGGCTAGCGACAGCTCGAGCAGAACCAGCACCATTGGGTTGCCGCTCGAGGACGAGGGCGACGATGGAGACGAAGGAAAGGCATAGCATGGCCTAGCGCAGGTCGACCACCTCTTCTGTACAATAATGGATATCGTCACAACAACGTCCCTCGCTCGACCATCGACTACCGCAACCATCATTGCAGCAGAAGAGAGAGGGCACGACCTGTGGTCGCGGGTCGTTGGGAACCTCCGTAAAAGCGCATGCAATCAATTGCAGCCGTCATCGAACCGCAGTGCTACGTGTTCATGGGCAGCGCCATCTTCACCATGGAAACCCCGAGATAAATCGCCAGACTTGATCCTGCTTACGACCGTCGCTGCCAAAAGGCCAGCACGCCCGCCCAAGCCTTCAAAATCGGCCGCACCAGATGCCTACAAAGGGCACCGCCATGCCATGCAGTGGTCGGAGTCGTTGGTCGAGTCGCCTACCTTGACTCATATAGTGATAAAGTTGCGTCCAGCATCGACTCGACATGCGGTGCCAAGCCGTCGCGCCGCACCGACACAACGGTCGTCGCCAACCCGCTAACAACACAAACGTTGTCATGAACCGCGCCATCTCGACTTGCCCCAGTCCCATTCCACACTCGATTCGACACCATTCCAACTCGAGGCAGTCGGCCATTCCATTTGCTCGCCACCACACACACTCGCCCAGCAACAAACCTGAGTTTCGACGCGAGCGACGCGGCCGACGACGCGGCAGTGACCGTTTGAGTTGCAATAACGCTGCATTCCAAGCAGTATGCTCCTGCCTTCAGGTTGGACCACACGGCGAGGAGCGGCGGGGATGTCATGCCAATCATGTCGAGTGTGTCGCTGGTGTCGCCAGCCTCTTGCTGGCACATGCGGCGTACCATGCGCAACTCGTCCAATTCTAGCACCATCAGCGGGACCAGAGCAAAGCACACTTTGCCACCAAACACGACCAGCCATGCAAAGACGACCATGTGACCACATCGCCGGACGAGAACAACCAGGATAGCCACCGCCCGCGGCGGCGGCAAGTCCCGCACTGTCTTGGCCACGTACGCGACCAGGATGGCATATTCATCGCGGTCGCCTGGATCGATGGCGCCTGTGCGACGGCGGTGCGCGAGGATTTCTGCTTGAAACAACTCGACTGCCGACGTCTGGAACGTTTGAAACGTCGACACGATGTCGTCCACGGACAACGTACTCGGTTGATTCCAAAAGTCTACCAGCACATCATATGAATCGCGGCACGATCGAGAGCTGGCGCACGCACCGATGGCCCAGTGCCCCAACGCCAACAATCCCCACACGTTGAGTTGGCTCGACGCGGCAGCCACGTGCTTCGCTAAAGCGCGCTTCGTGGCATCGTGTACAGCACCGGGGGAAATTGACTCGAGACAGTACCCTGCGAGCTCCAATGCGACAGGCGGAATAAACCGAAACAAGTCGGGAGTGTGGCCCATGAGCACCACCCAATACAGCACGACGATGACGTGAAGACCTGCTTTGACAAGCTTCGGGTGCATCTCGCGCGTCAAGAACAGCGCCGTGGTCAGGTACAACACGACGCCGCATGCCAAGGACAGGTCATTGTGGATGAAGGAGAACAAGTTGACGAGGCCAATCAAGCGAAGCAGCGTCGGCAATAACATCAGGATGCAGGGAAGCAGGGCCACGTCGTAGAGCTTGTTCGAGGACTTGGCCAGCCATCGTGTCAAGCGTCTGGACAGGTATGTTCACATGAGGAAACGATAGACGGCTAGTCGGTGCAACATTGATTCTGCGCACCGTGTAAAGAAGTCCATGATGCACCGCCGACAAGTGGGGACGAGGATGAGAGCTGTTGCGAGGCCCACAACCACGCTGAGCACGCGAACCCGATGCATGCACCATGCCGCGACGCCAACCGCGAAGCACAAACTACTTTGCAAGAGCTGGGGACTTGCAGAAGACAAATTGTTCAGGATATCCAGTAGCAATGCGACCACGACGCTCTTTGGAGACACAGGAGTGAACAACGTAGTGGGAGGTGTGGCAACGATTTGTGTGGTGAAGGAGGCGGATGGTTGGGTGGAAGCTGTATCGTCGTTCGATTGCATTGCTGACGAGACTGGATATGTTGGAGCGGACGGTGGCGTTGTCGCTGGCTGGGTGCTGGCGCTTACTACAATGACAGGAATCGCAGTTGGTTGAAAGGCTGGAACAGTGTCGTCTTCCGCCAGCGCGTCCAAGACAGCTACCCTCGCACGATGCAAGCCATTTTGTAAAGACGCATCGTTCGCATCCAGTGCAACAGCGTGTTTGAATGCTTTGACCGCGTCGTCGTTGTGTGCCTGCTGCAAGAGGGCTTCTCCCAGCAATCCGAAGGCTAGACCCGACGATGGCTGCAAGGTTAGCCACGTTCGGGCGTCTTGTTCTGCGTCTTTAGACTGGCCGAGCTGCAGATACGCCGCGCCACGATGCCTCAATGCAGAGATGCTCGTCGGACAGCTCTGCAGCTCCAGGGACCACTTTTCGATGGCTGCGCGGTCGTCGTCCAGCATGACCCTGCGCTCCTGTCGCTTTTCAACTCCGGATAATTGCAGAAACGCCGACGCCATCTGTAACCGTAACTTTGAATTCTGGCCGAACGACGAGCGCTGCCGCCATGGCCACGAAGATCTTCGGCAACGACTACATCGTCATCCAGACATGGTCGCGGCAAGATAGCACCGCCCCTGCAGCCTCACTGGGCGATGCGATCCCCCCTTTCACAAAGCTGTCGTTCTGGCTGCGAAACGACCCCTCCATGGGCGGTGAAATTCTACTACACCGGCGGGCAAACGACGGCCAGCCCATCGAACCACCACCGTGGCCACAAGCTCTCTTTTGCCACGTCTTGGCAGAGCCACCAACTCGACGATCTCGACCTGTTTCAGATGCTGACCCGACTTGGTCAACGAAAGTTGGGACGACCCTGCTCTACGACGACAGCATCGTCAATGTTTGGGATTTCATCGTTCACCCCCTCGCGAGCTGCCACTACCACGTCCATCACTATCCGTACGTGTTTATCAACCTCGTACCTGGGGCGACACAACCTGTCGACGCCCATGGCACCCTCCTTGACGACGGCCCTGTGCGTAAGCATGGCCCGGGCGAAATCAATTTCGTCGACGTTGCGGCCCTCGACTCGCTACCGCATCACGCGTTTCGAAACGTGGCCGACACTCCATTTTGCCAATACATCGTCGAGTTCAAGGAGAAGAGACGTGATTAGTTCGTTCGAGTTCTTGGCGTCGCTACACATCCTCTTTGTACACGCCGCTGTCCCATCGCATCCAAGGCTTCTACACTTTCCCCATGGACGAGCAAAGCTGTCCGTGATGACCAAGGCACACGCATACCCACACGTCGATGCGAGCTCGATGCCGCTTAGATGCTCTACGGACGGGTTGGAATGTAGTCGACATGACGGACCTGCGTACCTCGTAGACGCCGCTCCGCCATGCATGGGAGCTTTCGTTCTAGGCGATGGCCGACGCTGCACGTGATGAATTTCTGTTCAAACATGCATGGATTGGCGCGGCCATCGTGAAATGGGACCAATGCCGAGTGCCTTGCGATGCCGTGAGGGCGGTGGAAGGACAGCATTTTGAAAAGCGTCCCGAGTCCAAACACACCTTGGACAGGGGGACAGTTCACGCCAAATCTAGACTGCCATAGCCGTGCAAAAGCTGTCCTTGCCATGCCATGGCCCTCTGCCATCCCAACTCGAACGAGGCACGGCGAAAAAGCCGCCTGGACATCGTGCTGACGACGGTGTCGCCGAAATCGCGCTTTCTGCATGCCCCTACAAACATGTTGGCAGAGAATACAAGGACGGCACGCCTTGCTCGAGGAGGCGCACTCGTTTGAATTGCCAGCAAACTACAAGAACTTTATACATTAACTCGGTCAAACTAGTCCTACAAGATCGCCACACTGTTGTCGTCGATGACGGTGCCCGTCGACGACTGTATTGCCAGCGCGGCTGCTGGAGCATCGAGATCCTCCATTCCATTCATCGACGTCGCCGCAACAGGAGTTGCTTGGTCTGGACCCTCTTCACTTGACAGTGCTGACGACGGTCGACTCGCGAGTCGCCTGTGCTTGGCGCGCTTGTTTCGCTCGCGCATTCGCATGGCGCCGACAACCAGGAGAATGCCCACCACGACTCCAGCCACCGTAAACGTACTCACGTACACATTCAGTAGCCTCGCCTCTTCCGCAGAATACTCGTCGGCGTGGACAGCGGCGGCGCTCATCGACGCTGGGCGGCCAACACGTGCTTCTTTGGTCGATCGTGAGACAGCCGAGCCCGCCGTCACAGTGGCTATTCGCTCCGTGGGCATTGGCTACAACGTCTCTCCCACGACACCCCCATGAGGTATTTCAATTAAACTACATACAAAAGACAAGTTCAGTCAAATGTTACAAAATAAATACGTTCATGCGATCCCGAGGAATCATGCAAAGTCGCGCGTGACTCACCCGCCGCCCTGGCGGGACTTGACGACGGTCGTGCAATGTGTGTGCTGTTTGTGGCGTGTAATGGCTCGAGCGACGTGAAATGTGCGCTGATTCCTCGGCGCGACGCCAGGGGACAAACTGCTCCGAAGCCAGCGACATGTGCGCGTATTCGTGGCCCGTGTGCATAAACTGCGGTGGGGCAAGATGGAGGTGCCACATCTGCGTGATTTGGGCTCGTCCCTACGCCAATGCAGTGCCCTCTGTTGTGATGCTACAGCACGCGGATGACGAAGAACTGCCCCCCCCCCTTCCTTTGTCATGCACGCGCCATCGAACTCTCAAGGGATAAGTAGTGTCGTTTACGTGATGCTAAATTGGTACGCAAGCGTCAAGAGGTGGTGGTTTTGCCACCTTCTCGTGCGTCTCTGCAGGATGGATATGCTGCGATCGCTCCATGCTGCGCAGTAGTAGCAAGGACAACGGGGGAAGGTCTTCGTTTGGCTCAGAACTATCTCGTCCTTGCAGACATGACCTAGCACGATGCCTTGTCAGCCACGAGCGCTTCCTGAGTGGCCTTCAAGTGGGCTTCGGCGGCGTGCATTTCGTTCTGGATATGCTGGCGCTGGGTGACGCGTTGGTACTTTGCAGGCGAGTCTCGCGAGACAAATGGGGGCAGTGGCTCGATCCACGCCTTGCCTTCGGTTCCGTTAAATCGCACGATCGACTGGCGCTTGGTTTGAGCGCTCAGCACGCGATGCTACACACGAGTGGAAACGAGTCTGTCAAGGGCAATGGCTGGTCGACCTTGGTGCGAGTGGATTGTACCGGCGTCGCGACTAGCACGCCGTTGGTCCACATTTCAAGGACGTCGCCGACCAAGACAAACAGCCTGTCCGATGCAATGGGGATGTCCATCCAGAGGCCATCGCGGCCTTTGATTTGAAGCCCGACGTTATTCTACCCAACACCAAGCACACGGCGTCAAGCTGTACCATCCCCACGACACGGCATATCGCTGCAGTCGTCGAGGGAGAAAGAGAGTTGGTGTCACCTGGTGGATGATGGTGAAGCATTCAAAATCTGTGTGGGCAGCAATCCCGACATGTTTGGCATCGACCAGGGTGCTCGCGGACGATGCGTCTTGCGGCGGGTACGTCAACAGGCGCATGAATGCTTGGGCCTCGATCGTGTTGAAATCCTACCACCCAGTACACGACCCATGAAGCACGGACGTCTTGCCATCGTTCGAGGACAATGCCACGAGGGTTGTCGAGATCGTCCATGTCGTACTCGAAAAGTGTGCCGCGGTAACTCGAGCATCTCTGCAAACCCTTCAAAAAGCGCATTCGACACCACCGACGTGGCCTCGTACAGCGCCATCACGTCGTCTCGGAACCCGGGAAGCTCCAGCGGCCACACGTTTGGTCCAAGTCTAAATTATGACCTTTCATGAGGGCGCGGCAGAAACGATATGAACATACCCTTGGTCATCGTCCAAGTAAGAGGGCGGCAACTCGCCAGCCACGTCGAACCCCTCCATGTGCGAGACAACCCCGGGCTCATACTACATACACGCACTTGGCGGTGAGCTGGCGCCGATTCCGACGAAATATGAAGGGCGAGTCTGCGCGGATACCGATGGTTCTTCGTGGAGCGGCGTCCATCCTCTCGCGTTCGGGACGTTCCGGACGTGATACTTTTGCTTGACGGGCACTGGGAGTGCGTTGAACTCGTCCGCACGGGTGTACACCTACGCCAAGATCGTCACACACTCTACGAAGCGACGAGCACCTTGGTCAAAAGGCCGGGCGGCAGCACGGACGCTGGAATCGTGAAAAATCCAAACTCGTGACAGGCACGGCGCATGGCGTCGAGCGCGGGCTGCCGCGTCGCCTTGGACGACGATGGGTCCATCAGGGCACTCATGTCGACAAGCGGAAGACGGTTTGGAATCGTCGTCGTGGTGACCACACGTCGGCGCGCCATGGCATGATGCCGCCATGGCCGTCCAACGCGAGCCACGGAAGCGCCGATCCCGAGCATCTTGTCGCCCCGTTAATTGTATGAGGATTTCGTTGTCGTTGGATTGGCCGCTAGAAACTCAACTTCAAGGTGCGGGGTTTCGAGGTTGTGGGCGAAGCCAGCAGTATGTTGGAAAGGACGGGTTTCGCTCCAGGGATGCAGTAGCGATCGCTTTCTTGGTGCGTGCAAAGGGCGAGCATTATCTATGGATGCTCCAAAGGCATGACGACGACGAGGTTCTTGGCGGCCACGGGTGTCTTGCCCGTGTCTTTGAAGGCATTGCGCAATCATCGCCCCCAAACTATCGACGAGTGCAGGCGCATGTATAGCGCAGGTGCGTGGACGTGTTTGGCGTGGTGCGGGTGCGCATGGACATTCCTGAGTTTGGGTTCCTTGCACCCAAAATAGACGTCGAGGGCAATTGTCTCGGCGCATGCCACGCATTGTCGTTCAGGCTGGCCACCGTCGAGCGCGTGAGGGTCACAAGCAATGCCACCCCACGGGTACATCCTGGCGCCATCTCACGTCGACGTAACGCGATTCAATTTGAATTGGCGACGAACGTGTCAGCAACTTGCAAGATCTCGCCTGCGGCGCTCAGGTAGTCGCGCCGTCGGCTTACCAACGCAAGGCGGAGCAGAAATCGTATCGGCGAAGTTGCTCCTTTCACGCAGGCGTAGCACGGTAGTTGGTGGCTTGTGCAGGCTCCATAGCCGCTGGCGCAATCCTCCGTTGGGTTCACGAGCTCCTGATCATTCCACGGACGGGGGGCGCCCAGATATTTGTTCCCGCGACTACTGTAGAGTATAATGCCCAACATGCATCAAGCGGGGCCCGACGGGAGTGTTAATTCGTGCACACGCAACAGGTTTCTGAGCTGGGCCACCACGGTGAAATCCGACCGATCCACCGCACCATGCCACCTGGATGCCATGGAACAAGATGCACGATGATGGGTACCCGTGCTTGTTCGTCGCGCCACTCTGTTTTTCGGCGACAACTAGAGTTGAACAACTGACTGGAGGCGACGCCGAAAATAGTCCCCAACGGAGGAGGATTGGAACGTTTACTGGTAGCGAACGGCTTCTTCCAAAGACTGGCATCAACCAAACGGCAGCCGCGAGCTCCGGTTTCGACACTGCGGTAAAGCAATGCGAGAGCGGGATTTGTGTGCGGTGGGTTGCGAAGGCGACGCCTGTTGTGCGAGATTTGAAAAAGTCGACGCGAGGTCTTACGACGGACACGGCCAGGACATCCTGTCTTGTCGAATCAAGCATGAGTGGCAATGAAAAGGTCCTCGTCGTTCTACAAGACCGACCTGGCAGCGGATGTCATTGCCAGAGCAGGCGAAGCGCGCCCGATCCTTCCTGCTACAACCCGACATGTCCGACAATTCAACGATTGCGCATACACGACTGGACCGTCAAGTTGTCGTCTACTAAACTTGCGCTGCAGTCGATCGCGGGGTGGGCAACCAAGTTGGGCAGTCGACTCGCTCACGTCGAAGGACTTGGCTGGCTACCGTACCTACCAATGCGGTTGGCCCTTACACCGGCCCTTCGAGATGCCAGGGAACGGGGGAGGGCTTCCCGTGTCTGGTTTGCTGAAACACTAGCGGGACTGTGCCCTCCAATGCAATGCGGGCGCTCCAGTTTCGCGGCCAGCCACAAGCCCACGATGTTCGTGATGGAATATCCCCGATAGCTTCGATCTCGAGGCTAATCACGGTGCATTCGCCCATCAACCATCATACAAACCTCAAGGCAAACTCGACGAGCGTAACACGTGGAGTGGCATGTGTAGTTTTTGTCCAACTCTAGTCTGTCTGTCGCCATGGCGGATCTCGACGGACCACTCATCCATTTTTCGCGTGGACAATAGATTTTCCTCCGGTGGCGAGAGCAATTTCGAGATCCTTCATGCAGCCGTCAGCCAAACGCAAGCGGCGACACAACGAAGACGGGTCCACACGTCCGAGCGCCAAACTTTTGTGTCGTAGGAATCGACCGCCACCCCGTCGGCCGTCCACGTCGACGTCCATGGTGGCCGCTGGAGACTCCCTCGCAGCCATCTTGAATGGCAAACTGCACCGGTTCCCAGAGTTCGTCGAGGCCGCGACAGTCTACCACACCCTCCACCATTCCAAATCCGCCGTCACCAACTTGCCCAAGGCATTCGTTGTGCCGTCGCACCCACCGTATCCTGTCCACTTGCACGGGTTGAAACTCAACACGGCGCAGGTGCGAACGCATGTCAAGAATGGCAACGTGCACCCAGAAACGATCGCGGCCCTCCGCGCGATCAACTTTGTCTTTGACGTCAACGAGCTCAAGTGGCAGCTCAAGATCCAAGCGTTCGAGACGTACAAGGCATTGCACGGCGACCTCAAGATTCCGCAAGACTTTGTCGTGCCCCGGCACGACCACCGTTGGCCACTCGACACGTGGGGCATGCGATTAGGTCTAGCCGTTCGCAGCCTCCGCCAGAAAGCAGACATGTGCCCATCCCGTGCCGCGCAGCTCTCGGCGATGGGGTTTGTCTGGAACATCCTAGAGCAGGGATGGGAAATCAAGGTGCTCGCGCTGTCCACTTACAAGGATATATACGGCGACCTCTTGGTGCCGTACAGCTTCAAAACGCCGTCCGAGACCGACTACCGGGCCAACTGCCCACACGAGGGGCTCCACCGGTGGCCCCAGGAGACATGGAACATCAAGCTCGGCCACGCCGTGCACAACCTTCGCCAGAACGTGGACGACATGCCAGCGAATCGCCGGGACATCCTCAACTCGATGGGGTTTGTCTGGGATTGTCTCGAACTGAGCTGGGACTTGAAACTCACGGCACTGCAGCGGTACAAGGACCTGTTTGGTGATGTCGTGGTTCCGTATGGATTCCGCGTTCCAAAGCATGACTCCCAGTGGCCAAAAGACACGTGGGGCTTGAAACTGGGCCATGCTGTCCATAACATGCACCAGCAAGGGCTGGACATGCCGCAAGATCGACGCGAGGCGCTCAAGTGTCTAGGATTTGTCTGGGAGTATGCCGTCGATCCAGTCACGTGGGAAACTAACCTCCAAGCGCTTCACTTGTACAAGAAATTCCATGGTCACATCGACGTCCCATCGCATTTCAAGGTGCCCATGCCATCTCACATGTGGCCACAAGAAATGTGGGATTTCCAGTTGGGAGCTGTCGTCGGGGCCCTCCGCCACCATAAACACGAATTGCCGATACACCATCGACGCTCGTTAGATTCCATGGGGTTCCTGTGGCAAAGACCTGTGCAGCCGATGCTACAATGTCCGCGGACATTTCGGGCTGCACGAGGGGCTGCACCGGTGCGTCGGCGTTGGGCCCTTCAAAGTCCATGGCTGGACTCTCCGACGACTTGGACGACTTCCCCGCGAAAACAAATCGCTGACGAGGAAGTCGACTCCCCTGCGACTTGGCTAGTCGTTTTGGATGCCCTTCACACGTATGCCTGGCTGTACGGCGACGTGGTCACCATTCCAGCCAACTTCATTGTACCCAAGGACGTGAACTTGTGGCCTCGGCACACCTGGCAGTTGCCGCTTGGACGATGGTATCAAGTCCTTCAACGGTACGACATCCAACCCCCGCCGAATGTGCAACAAGCACTTGCCAGGATTGGCATCGCAAGCGTTGACGCGTCAAGGCAACGAGGAGAGTCCATGGATGCGATGCCCGATGAACGGTATTCGACAAGAGCGCCAGTGCTACCCCGTTTGCCAGAAATGAATTGGTAATGGAGCGCGGTTGAATGGACGCCTCGCCGAGACTTTGGTCGTATTGTGCTCATTTGTGGGGCGCATCTGGTCGACGTCACATACCAGAACATGAATGGTGCTTGCACGAATGCACAGTGGTAGCCTGGAACACCCCCCTTCCAGACCCGGCGAACGCGCCGACGTCAGCCCCCTAACGAAGACAATAGAAAACGATCCATCATCATCCGCTCGGATCTCCAGTGGCCTCAAACGTTCCCGCTTGCATCCTTACTGGCGACCTTTCACTTGATTTCCTTTCATCGCTCAGACAAGGACAATCTCAGGCAAGACTGTTGGCTAACAACAACAGAGCAGAGGCTTGGATGGTGAACAAACGGCATCACATTCTAGTTTGAAGTCAACCCCATGACAAGCTTTGCGATTCTGGCCTCTACGGAAAATCGTTGTCTACACAACGCACACACTTGACCATTCCGTGCAGGACGTAGCTTTGCCCTGTTCGAGGGTGCTCTTCACGGCCGAGGCGTCCGACGAGAATCACGGCGCGATAACGTCGCCCTGCAAACTCTTGAATGTGAATTCTTGTTATCCCCACGAGTCGTTGCAAGAACATCACTAGCGCACAGGCTAGGCGGCATTGCATGGACGGGCGGGTAGATCGACCTTCACGGAAGAGGCCTTCAGGAAATGGGATGCGGGAAATGGTGGAGATCGGATTCGCTGTTGAGGGCGACAACGTTGAGCAGCGGGTCGAACTTGCTGTAGCACACCTGGTTGTACGCCACGTTGACGCTTTCCCGATCAAGTTGGAATCGAATGTGTAGCTCAGGTCCAACAGGTTGGGGGGCTTGGTGATGTGGCAGCTTGGTCATACCGTTGGTGGTGGCCGTGCAACAGCGCGAAGATTGGATATGGCAAGAACGGTACAATTGCGTCCTGTGGGAGTATCGGCGCTAGTGCGACGAATGCCTCGGGGCGCTCAAGGGGGGCGAGATGTGTTTTTGTACCAGCACTTCAGGATCGTTGGAAACGTGGACAAGACCGTCCGTTGCGTTTCGGCCAACGATTGACGTTTGTCGAGCAAGACGAAGAGAACTTTTGGACATCGAGGGATGTCAAACAGGGCAAAGCAACGTCCTGTACGGAATGCTAGAGTGTGTGCATTGCCTTATCGCAATAGCAAGTTAGAACTTGATGCGTGTGGAATTGAAAGTCGCTCGTGTTGTGAGATCGAATGTTTCTGTGCTCTGGGTGGCAGGGTCGTGTGTTTGAACCTGGCAACGTCGTTGAATCGTGTCGAGGTCGCCACAAGCGCGAGGAGACTTGCCGACTTTGCACGTGGGTGCGGAAATACGCTGGGACGTGATGGACGTCCACGGCAAAACGTCATGCGGGCTTCGTTTCATGGTTTGTTGGTCGCTGGAGCAGCCAGAGCACGGCTGGTCACGTTGGCATCGACGGCCGCGACTCGCACACCTGCGGCCAGAGCAAGAACATAATGCAGCAATCCTTCCACGGAGGCGGACGAAACGCATGACGTGGCTGCGTGGTGATGGCGTAGGTCCTGGATGCCAGGAACTTCCGTGCGGTTGGTATAGTCGTCGAAGTCGACCAAAGTGCAAATCATGGATCTGTGGTCGGGCAAGACGCACGTCGACTTTACCGTTGCATGACCCACGTCTTGGACATCCCATTGAGATTGTTGGAACAATGCCGCGTACAACATGACCGCCATGCCACCAACGAACGATCCACGCGATGACGCTTGGACTTTGCCACAGGATTCGCGAACGGGTGGGATTCGTCGAAGGCCATTGGGCCAGAGGCCACCAAAGGCCTTGAAGATCCATCGTCGACGACTGAGCAACGTGCCAGTGTGACATCGATGGACGACGGAGTGTGACAAGCCGACATGGCGGCACAACCTAAACGACGGCCGGTGGTGTCCACGAGTACTGGAATGGACGAGGACGGGGCCGCCAGGACCTCGGGGGCGACCCCGGCACGGGGGCCACCAGCCGCTCCAGCCTCGACCGAACCAAATGTGGACTGCTGCGGCTGCTTCTCCAACGGCATCCACGAAGCTCCGACATACGTCAGGCATGAGCCGTTCTCGACGGAGACCCCCTGCGACGTTGCCGTTCCCTTGTCGGGACCAAACATTCGATAGCGATTTGAACGCTAGAGATGGCGCAACCGCTTCGACCGGAATCAACCACATGTTGGCCTTTACATTTTCCAAACACTTAAATATCAGGCAATCGGTCGCCGCGTGGGCGAGCGTACGTGGCGACCGTGAGGACGGCTTGATCGGGATTGTCCAACTGGAGTGCGTCAAAGAGGGGGCTATGGAGCACCCAGTACAACGTGGGTCGCTGGGCCGGGTCAAAGTGCACGAGTCGCCGAAATACGTCCATGGCACCGGGTATTGCTTCGAGGCGTCGACGTACGAGGGCAATCGGACCAAAGCTTCCCGTGGCCACCGAATACATGCTCGCGTCCAGTTCATACTGGCGCTGGACCGGCGACGGGTGGCGTTTCTTGGAGGACGGCGCCAGGAGCTGCAGCAAAAACGCACTGATGCTCGACGTCGCAGCGTCCAACTGCGTCACGCCAAATAGCACGAGGAAGCGGTACAAAGTGTCGCACAAAACAGTCGTATTGTCCTTGCTGGTGGCCAATTGCTGCCGCAGCACCGCAAACGATTCCTTCTTGGCGCCGCGGTAGTGCTTTTTCTAGCCGATCGATTCCAGTCAGCATGCGTTCCTTTCCACTCATAGGGCAATCGACACCATGCCCGATAAGCTTCACCAATTTCTCCCTTACCTTCCACATCGCGACCAACGAACGCTTTAGCTCCATCGGACAGACGACATCTTCGAGCAACTCTTCATACGGCGCACTACACACAGTCCAGCGACATGAGGTCAAGAGATTCCAGATCAAATCCTCCTCCGAGCGTCGTGCGATGTGTACCGTCCCGACAGCAGGTGCAGCAGAGAGAGCCCCAACGCGAACGTGTCGGCAGCATAGCCTTGCATGGCGGTGTCGCCGACCAAAAAGAAATCGATCGGGGTGTTTTCCAACGTGGTAAACTACAACCGAGCCACTAAGCGACTTCAAACAAAACAGACACAGCGGACGTACATGCTCGACACCGATGGGGAGTCCCAACGTCAGTGTCGACGTATCGGCCGTGCCATAATCGGCCAGCTTGACCCAGTACGGCGACGTCAACTCGAACACTTTTTCTTCGAATGCATAAGTCATCGTGGTGCCCTCAGCAGACGTTGATTGCAGAAAAAAGTTAAGCAGCTACGAAGTAGGTCACCATCAGAATTTCCACTTGCATTTATCAAGTGGCACATGCCACCCACTGTGTGGACCAGCACACTGTACCTTGATGTCATAATGGCGGAGTTGGTGCTGTTCGCGTCCGGCGTAGAGTGCAAACACCATTTGAAAAAACAAGCTGGACCACCCATGGATCAGGTTGCTCGTGCCATCCAGGCGTATGTAGTCCTCCACGTTGCCGCCATCGCAGAGCTCCATGCGAATATACTGGTACAAGCCTCGCTTCAAGGATGTCATGTCTTTGTTCGTGGATGGTTTTCCCGTCGAAGTCGACCCCTACAAAACAAATCGCGATGCAACATCCAACCTCAACTTGTGTCGTGGTGGTTGATGTACGTGCGAGAGCGCTCCAAATGCAAGTCCTTGTGGCGTCGGCGTCGACGGCGATCCCCATTTCGACTCGTCCGGCATTGAAGTTGAGAGGAACATGGAATAAATTCGCAAAAAGTTGGGATGCGTGTCGGCCAATTTCGTAAACAACAACGAGTGGGCAATTTCTTGGCGCACAATGTGCTAGAAAACAACATCAAGTGCCGATAAAAATCACCACACGCACCTCATTGCCGGTGGACTCGATGTACCGCACATCCATGACACTCACGGCCTCGTACCGCTCGTCGGGCACGGAATACACCTTTTCATTTCATGCACCATGCCAGAGTCAGCGAGTTCAACGATGTGAGCCAACGCCAAGTACTAAGCGACTACGAGGTCAAATGCGCACCTTGAACACTTGCTTGTACGCGCCATCGGACAAATATTGGCCCCATGGAAACGCGTTGTACAGGGTTGCCGCCATTGCATCCACGGGTTGCCTAATGTCACGGCATTTTAGCCCACGTCGAAGCAAACGAGGGCAGTTCGCTCGGCATCACGAAATAAAACGAATCGACTCAGCTCGCCGAGAGCAAGGACATTCGGCCATAAATAGCGTGATCAACAAGTACACGTACAAGTGATAATCGGCTTGATGCCAGGCCCAGATCCTACAGTTGGTTCAGCTTCGCGCAAATGGAAAAAATCAAGTCGTTGGAGAATGTCTCGGGCGTACTCGTTGTGAATTCTGCGCCACGTTTTGCACACCACACCGACGAGGGGGGTCATCTCGACAAATTGCGACGCCAGCACCAGAGACGCCACGGCACTCGGCATGGTTGGTTTCGAGCGGCTGGCGCGGTGCACAGTTTGCCCTCGAACAGCGTCGTTCGCTTTGTCCAAGGGCGACGGCGCGAGCTGGACGTTTGTCTTGGGAACGAACAGTGAAAGTCGGCGATCGGATGACCGGACGACATCGAGACGGGACAGACGTCGGAGGTGGTTGCGGGTCTTTTTCGACTGCACGACGACGTTTTCCCGCGACACGTTGAGCAGATCCATGCTGCTTTCTTCCGGAATAGACGTGTCGAGGCTGAGCCTCGATGACTTGGTCAAGATTCCACCGAAACTCAACCGCTTCACGGCGCTCGAGAAGGGGGTGCTGGCGTCTTCGATCGCGTCGAAATCCAGCGATTCATTGCTTTGATCGAGGTGCGAGGGGGCACCGCTGACATCCTCGTCGATTTCGATGACGGTGGATTGCTTGTCAGGGCTGGCGCTGCTGCTTTGCGATGGCTCCTCAGCGATCGAGCAGATGCTGAGGCGACGGGCTGACCGTACACCAGGCGGATTCGAATCCATCGAGTCAAGTGATAATCGTGGGTTGAATGTAGAGTGGCTTGGACGGAACATTGAAGAATCACCGACGGCTTGGATGGGAGAACCCCACATCAAGGACAACGGCGGAGGTCGACGGGCGGCTGGGCGGCGTTGCCTTGGCGCCGCGGTGGAAGATGAGACCCCTCGCGTGTAGTTTTCGAAGGCTTTTCGTTCCTGCTTGGGCGATTTCTTGGCCGTGACAATTGCCAAATTATCATCCTCGGGGGGTGCTTGCATTTGAGATAGCATGGCTTGGGTGTTGGAAGGGGTGGTCCTGTACAAATGAACAGGTCGCGTCATGACGTCGTGCGTGACGGGAACGTACGAGACTTGGCCAGAGTAGCGCTGGACGATGGCCAATGCATCCTTGTTGGCAATGCGGTATACAGTGGCGTTGACTGTTGGCCGCGACACAAAACCCAAGGTTTCCAGCCACTGGCTGAATTGCGCAACTTGTTCGTTGGTCCATTCCGAAGCCGATGGGAGCGGGACGATGCTACCGAGGCCAAATCCGTACTCGAAGCTCATCTTGGACTGTACGCTGTCCTTGAGACAGTTCAGGAGATACCACACAAACTTCGGTGACGCTAGTTGAGCTACCGCTGTCCGTTTAGACTTTGGTCCCGCGGTCGAGGACGCTCGATTGCTTGTCGATTTCGAGACCTTGTCCCCAGAAACCTGCAATCGTGATCATCTCAGCCTGAGGTAAACGCTTGTGCCATGGCATTGTACCTTCTTGACCACCCGCGACTTGCTCTGGGAACCTTTGGATCGCTTGCGTGGCTCAAAGTCGAACTCATCGTCTGAAGATACTGGGGACTGACATGCCCGCTTGATTGCCTTCGGCTGGTCGAACTGCGGGCTGTCGCTGAGGACGGCAAAGCGCGGCATCGCACCCGTCGCAACCACTTTTGAATTCACCCATGCACTCTGGTTCAAATTTCAAACCTCCATTATCCGGAATTGTCGAGCTTTTTCGGATACCACCGACTATACTGCCAAATTATGAACGGTCAGAGGGCATGGTCCGTTTCAGAATAGTGTTCACATATATGATGGATATCTAGTTAATTTGACCGACAGGACAAAGTTCGAGCATCATGGAAACTGTAGAGTTTTATACTAAATCTTGAAGTTTTAAAGATCGCATGTCGCTTCGTGTCCGATGCGCCAGCCATGCGACCCAAGGTGCGTCTGCCGACAGCAGAGTCTCGAAGCTGAAAACGCCGTCTTCTCCATGTAGCTTTCTTGAAGAAGGATGGACTGAGATGCACGACGGAGTCGTTCCCCCGTATCCACTCACAGAGCGCGATCCTGCGTACGACGCCGTCGTGTTCCATCACCTATCGTCCGTCGAACGTGCAAGGCGACGTGTGCTGTCGCTTGTGATCACGTTTACTATAGAGATGCTTGTGGCGTTTGTCATTTCGAGGCATACAGCGACGTTGCGAACGTACCCGCTTCTCATGTCGTTCATGCCTGTGATCTCGGCAATCTCTGGCAATGTCGGGTTGCAGTCGTCGAGCATCATGACGCGAGCGTTAGCGGTCGGCCTTGTGACAACGAAAGATTCGGCTCGAGCGATTGGGCGGGACGTGTCGTCGGCCGTGGTGCTTGGCCTTGTCCTGGGCTTCGTGACAGGCATCGTGGCCGGAATGTGGCAGAACTGGGTCGTGTTTGGCGTCGTCGTAGGAATTGCGCAGTTTTTATCGATCGTCACGGCCGCGCTCACGGGGAGTGCCGCGCCGCTGATAGGCAAGTGGCTGCATTTCGACCCCGCCACATTTGCGGGGCCCATGGAGACAGCGATCCAAGACGTTGTCGGGAACTCGTTCTTCTTAATCCTCGCCAGCGGCATGCTCGACTACTTTGCCCACGTTGGCCATCGACGCTAAACATTGTAAAATACACTATTCCATACGCACCACGTTTGACGATGCGAATCCAAGTCTAGATCCTCCCGCGACAATTCGAGCTCTGTCCGATGCGCAGACGCGCCGCATTCCATCTCCTGCGACGAGATCGGACTGCTCCAACAAGCGCGGCGTGCGATAGATCGATATGTACCTCTCAAACGTCAAGACGTGGCGACGAATGTCCACCGCTGCGTGCAGTTGCAACGCCGAACTACAGTATCAAGCAGGTCGATGGTGTGGACCTCAACCCCCGACGGAAACCATGCCGGCGAGCCACCACCTTAAACACATCTGAAATGTCAGTTGTACAGCGCATGCCGTCGTGGCGAGGGAGTGTGGCGCAGACAGAATGGCAAGGAAATGTCAACGCGGTGGACGAGAATAAAAATGGGCATCTATTTTGTCGAGTGGCGTTGGCAAAAGACGCGAATGCGGTCGTACGCTTCGGCGAGCTTGTCTTGGGGCGCCGAAAACACGACGCGGAAAAAGTTGGGGATGTTAAAGCACTGGCCGGGAAGGACAAACACGCCTTCTTCCAACAGCAACTTTTGTGTAAAGTCGAAATCGTCTGCAATGTCGGCGAGCAACGCCGTGTCAATGCCGCACATGACGTACATGGCACCTTGGGGCACGACGACGTGGAGGCCTGGAATCGTCTTGAGCGAGTCGAGCGTGAATTGCGCGTTCGATTCGAGCGTCGAGTAGTAGTCGCGTTTGAATTTGGCGAGCGACGCTTCGTCGGCGCTGCCGGGGGCAGGGGTCAAAATGTCGGGAATCGCGCTTTGGACAAGCGAGTTGGCGCCTAGCACGATCGTCGACAGCTTAAAGTACGCTGTGCGGATGTCCTGGAGGATGTTATTGCGGTCGTGGACGGCAATCCAGCCCACACGCCACCCGGGGACGCAAAATTGCTTGGCCAGACCGCTCACCGACACAACGGGGACGGTCTTGGTCAACGACGCGATCGGGAAAAATGTCGTGCCGCCGTACGTCATGTCGCCGTAGATCTCATCGGCAATGATGGGCACTCGGTGCGATTCGGCCACGGTCAAGATGGCTTGCAAGTGCTCCTTCGAGAAGACCGACCCGCACGGATTGCTCGGGTTGTTGATCAAGATGGCCTGCGTACGGCTATCAATCTGCGAGGCCATGCCAACCAAGTCAGCTTCCCAATTTTTTTCGGGCAGCAAGTCGTAGTAGCGCACTTGGATGTTGTGCGCGTCTGCAATCACTTGGTACAACGAAAACGCCGGGCGCGGAATCAAAATGTTGTCGCCGGGGTTGCACATGCCCGTGATTGCAATATCTAACGCGCCGGACCCACCGCTCGCAATGATGATGTCGTCCTTGGTCAAAGGAGCATCGGCAGATCCGTACCGTGTGGCAATTGCAGCGCGGGCGGCTTCTGTCCCGGCCGAGTGGATGTACCCGTTGTGGTTGTGCGACTTGGCGTTGCGGACAATCGCGTCGGTGAGAACGTCCGGGCACGACAAGTTGCCAAACACGGTCGGATCGCCCAACGAGAGGCGGATGATGGGCTTGACGGGGTTTTGTGGCAGCTTGATGTTGTCTACGATCTTTCGGATCGGGTTCGACGTGGCGTTGGCAAACTCGGACGGGTACATGGTGTGCCAGACGGCGTTTGTGTTGGTGCTGCTCATGACAACTCGGAGGCAATGCGGAAGTGGTCGAGTTCCACGGCGGCGATGTGGGTGCGTGGGTGGTGGGGATGTCGGCCTCGAATTTGTAATCACGCGGTTCGGCGGCAGTTTTTTGTAAACATGGGACCTGCCACCATTATGTATAATCAAATCTAGCTTAAATAGACCGATTCGATGACAACTCGATGCACGATCGACGTAGACGACGAACCATTATATTGGAAATAAATAGCAAAGATCATGGGATTGCCCGTCGTGAAGACAGTCGACGATAGGAAGTTCCTTGGACGTCGAAGTTGAAGTTGCTGTAACAAATGGCAAGCTCGTCGCAGCTCGATCGAATGCAGGCGCGCATAGAGTCGCTGCGGCCGCCGCGACATGCCTGTGCGAAGATGGGTTTACACGTGGAGCCGGTGGGCTGAGGTCGCCCGTTGTATACTCTGTCGGGAGCTCGGGGACGACGACGCAGGTGACGTCGCCGTCGTGAATGGGGCGTGGGCTCGCTATGTTTCGATAAACAACCCTTCCAAGTGGTTGCGACGGGAGGAGTCCGTTGAGCCATCCGCAGGAGCCCGACGGTTCACAGACGTCTGGGTTCTCCGACGATGCAGTTTACTCGCGCGACATGTGCCGCAGCGAACGGCATCAAGTCGACCCGTCGTCAGCGCGTCCAGACCGTTCTCGGCGCGATCGCAGTAGTCGTCGTCATCGCTGCGGCAGGATTGCTCCTTGTGGTCACGTCCGGCGCACTGAATTACCTGCCGTCGAAAGACAGAGCATTGTATATCGAACTCAGCCTTCAAAGTGCCAACTTGGTCTTAACCGTCGCTGCCGTGGTGTCGCATGTGCCGCGCCTCCGCACGCTCTTGCATGTATCTCGGTACATGGCCTCCGCTGCGGCGTCCCCACGGATACAAGAGCAGCGAGCAGACGCGATTCGAGCTGCGTTTCCAGCACTGGCAATTGAATTCCAGGACCAAGCGAATCCGACCGGCGTCAACATCCCCCTGCGCAAGATCTGGCTTGTTCTGCTCGTTTTGAACGCCCAGTGCATGCTGCAGTACCCCACGACGTTTGTGTTGTGGTTCCTGTCGAGCCAAAATCGTCCGTACGCGGTGGTGGCTGTCTGCGTCGCGCTCTCGTCTGTCTGTAGCGTCGCCGCGTTTGTGTGGGAGTCCAGGCTCATTCGCCATTGCACACAATTCCGCGCCCAGCGTGCTGAAAGCGCATTTGAAAAGTACCTCGTCGAAGACACCGAAGTGTAGCGACCTTGCCTTGAACATTGCCGTGATATGCTTGTGTATGGATCGTTCATGTGGCGCTGCGCAGGCCCACTCGTGCATTGGACACACCCACACACACGAAAAGGAAGGGGCGAATTCTCTCTAAACTGGAGGGTTTTGCCGACATATGCGTTGGAGTCCCAGAACGAACAGCAACGCCACCACCGACTCCTGGCTGCAGATGCGCGGTGCTTCCCTGGCAATGGACCAATTGCATGTACAACCAGCCATCCGTGCCCTTTGTGCTCTCTAGTGCCGCTCTATCGAAGAGAGATCTTTCTGGTCGTCCCACGCGAGTGAGCTGCGAAAGTGGCCCGCCACCTCAACCTTGTGGTGTCGCACTTTAACTTTGCGGTAGTATTTTTATTGCTATTGCAATGGCACTATACAAAAGATAGATAGTTTAATTCGAGATAAGCTAGTTATGCGATTGGGCCACCCAGCGCCACGCCGCCCGCACAAGTCAAAAATCCCACCCCGTGGGAACGGTCCAAGGGCCACATGAGCCACTTCGCGCACCGAGCGATGCTGCTGGCTCAAAACAGTGCCAAGCAGGCTTCGTACCTGGCTGCGCATCCGCCATCCCCGCCTGCCGGACCATCGGATGACGCGGACGAGTTCAAGTGGATCGGGTTGGCCATCGTGATCGGGTCGGCCATTTTGTCCAACCTTGGCGTGAACGTCCAGAAGTTGTCGCATGTCAAGGAGGAGAAGCGGTCGATGTTTCAACGCCGTCCGTACTACGTCCGCCCCCTCTGGATCATCGGGATGGCGTTTGTTGTTCTTGGATCGATCGGAGACTTTGAAGCCCTCGCGTTCGCACCACAAGCACTCGTTGCGTCTGTCGGTGGTGGATGCACAGTCCTTGCCAACATGGGGTTTGCCCACCTCTGGCTCGGCCAGCGCCTCACTTGGTACGATGTGCTGGGCACGTTCTTCATCTTGGTGGGGGTTGTCTTGAGCACGTTGGCCAACACCCCCGACGCCCAACTCACCATCGTCGAACTCGAGCTGCAATTTCAGCACCTCGAATTCCTAGTGTACTTCTCCATCATGGTGCGTGTCGGTGGGACCCACTGGCCCAGGATGGCCCTCACGGTTGCGTTCAATAGTGTCTGGTATTATTTGGGATCTTTGGCGAGATTCGATCCATTGCGCGGCGATCTCGACTCACGCACGAGTATTTGCACCGTCGGCTGCCGTACTTGTACGCGACGGCGTCGGGCATTTTCGGATCGTTCTCGGTCTTGCTGGCCAAAGTACGTTGGACGCCAATGCAAACGGTGACGTCGCTGTCGTAGTGCACGTCGATGCTGCTTTTGCTCACGTTTCAAGGGGACAACCAGTTTGTGTACCCCATCACGTACGTGTTTGTCGGCGGTGAGTTGGCTGCGTTCGCCATGGACCTGCGTATGATAAAAGTTGTAGGCATGATCGCGACGTTGGTGCTCCAGACCGACTTGTTGAACCGCGCCATCATGTCTGGGGACACGCTGTCGGTGTTTCCAGTGTTTCAGTGCTTTTGGATTGGGGTACGTCTTTGCGCAAACTCGGTGCGCCTACTTGCTCGAGAAGTCGCTCGAATTTGTGTCTGGGCCATGCCAACGCCGCGCTGTCTCCTAGTCGAGTGTCGTGGGCGGCGTTGTGTTTTACCAAAAGTTTGACTCGTTTACGTTGTTTGAATGGATTTCGCTCCCCATCGCCCTCGCCTGTACGTGTGACTCTCCCCGATCCGTTGCGTTGACGACTTGACAACGCAGTGATCATTCTTGGCATTTACTTGCTGACGCAAGTGGCCAACGACGATGCTGCGTACGCGTCGTCAGTGGCTGCGACCGGCCGGTTCGGGTCGCTCATGCCGCTGAGTCCGCCGCCCATGTCATCCACGCTGCGCACGCCCATTTTCAGCCACGGGTCGTTTCGAAGCAATGACTCGTACGGGTCGGTCAAGACCAAGGAAGCGGGGTCGGCCAAGTCCCCAGCAGAAGTATAGTCAACCATCACCCGCCTCGCCATGCGCGACACTGGCGCGGATTTGAATTCACAGATTTTTCCGTTGTCCCCCTTGTTTGCGACAGTCGCGGAGCTTCAGGACACTCGACGCAATTTTGAACTGTCCCAGTCCAGCATTTTTTTCACAAGCGCCAAGAAGATGATCCAGACGTACCGCGTCCGCGTATTGTTTTCTCTCTGTGTGCCGACCATCACCACGATGCGTTCATGGTGAACGAAGTAGCCGTCGCTCGCGCGAAAGGCTTTGCTCCGTTCTGCTCTGGCGCTGCCATCCACAGCGCGCCTTGGCGGACGTTACCCTGCCAGCACGCTTCGCTTGAGCCACTCGGGCAACAGGACAATGTCCAACAACCCGGCGACACGCCCGCGCTGCATCGTGGACGTGTTCAGGATCGTCCGCGCCTCGACGCTGCGCGCCAAGAGGAGCAGGTGGCGGCCATTCAAACGTACCGAGCTACGCGATTGAAGCGGACAAAAGTACGTACGTGGGTCGACCGCCCCGCGACTCGAGATCGTGTACACGAGGGCGACGAACACTTCGAACGCCGTGACCGACGCGATACCAAACCTCTACAACGTTGCGCGAGAAGTCGGCCTCGTTCGTGCGCCACGTCGTCTCGGGGTTCGTCGCCGAGACCACGTTGAGCCATCCGCGGGCGCCCTCAAATACGACGACTTTGCACGCGTAGCGAGGCAAAGACGTCAAACGGGGGCAGGCGTGTGCTCTTCTTTGGCGGAAACGTCAATGGACGGCATGATTGACTCGCCGCCGTCCTTTGCGTCAGTCTCATTTCCAGCGCCAGGATGTCGTCGAAAAGTTTGGACAACCACAACGAGGTGCGTAGTGCTCTGGTACGATCCATCACCAGTTGAAGGGGTTCCGACAACCCCTCGGCGCAGATATGTGGACCTCGCGCGGTCAGCAGGTAGCCATACCCGCAGATACCGATAAACAAGGCCAACGATGGGGCGGCAATGGTATCTCGACGCGTTGCGGCAACCTGCTGGCCTCACTTCGGCGTGGACCCACGCAAGGCAGAGTGCTGATGGACCGATGGACCATTGGGCAATGACCGTCACTATAGTCCCTCAACGTCAGTGTGCGGCATGTTCATGCGTCGACGATCGAGATGGAACCATCCTGCAGCGGTGACGTTCACGAAGCAGAGAGCTACGGTGGAATCGTCTGGGGATGCGATCTAGCCACAGCAGCATGCGGGCAATTTCGTGACCTGCAAGTACTTCTTGCAGGACGTCACGTCCTTTCTCACGGCAGCCACGTGGAAGACGAACCCCCGTCGACTCGTCTCGGCTAAAGTCCACGGGGTTTCAAACCAACACCGCGTGCTGCATGGCAGCGCAAGGCGACGCGTACAACGCATCGCTTGCAGACGGTCACGTCCAGCCTCCGACTTGGTCCACCCGTCGTACGTCTCTTTCAGCACTTCCTTTGTCGCAATGGCACACACGTATTGAACGATGCACGGCCGTTCTTTCAACTCGCTCAAGCATGCGATGGTCGGTGGTGGATGGCCACACCATGTCCGCGCGACAGAGACGTCATGATGCGATTTGCACGGACGTAGCATTGGACGGAACGTCGACGGCGATCGAAAACCGATGTCATGGTAGGCAGATGCCTGCCGCGAAACACGCATGGCACTCCTTAACGGGAAGTCGTTGTGGTTTGACTTTTTTATGGACAATGGCACCATGCGCCTCGTTACGATGAAGAGCGAGCGATGTGGCACGTTGGAGGCCCGATGGATGCAGCCGATGGCAACTCACGAATCATACATATCACCGGTACGTACGTCCTGCGTGTGTTTTGGAATGTGTTGTAGACCTCACTCGGACTCGGCCTCGTCGTCGTCTTGGTCTGACGAGTCGGATAATTCGCCAGCCACGATAAACGAGTCCGCGTTCAACTGAATGCAGTCGATCGTGGCGTCCGTCGTGCAGCCCTGGAGGTGCTCTGGCAAGGACAACTGAATGATGTAGTCGTCGCCTCCGCTGTGGATGGCAAACCGATGACACACGTGGTGGTTCGTCGCAGCGTCGTAGGTTTCGAGCGCGGCCGCTTCGATCGTGTCTGTCTGTAATACCAGCGACTCGACAGCATCCATCGAGAGTTTCAGCGACAACGCCACGTCCGCATCGACGCGCTGCGACTGAATCGGGATGTGGTTCACCCACACGTTGACCAGAAACGTCACGCGGACGCTTGTGTCGTCGTCTTCGTTCACGTGCGGGAAGGCCAAGTCGGAAGGAGCGCCATGGAGAAGCTCGCCGTCAAATGTAATGTGCTTGCCAGGCTTTGGGCGACTCACAATACACTGCCGCAAGGGCCCGCTGATGTCGGCACCGTACTCGAACGTTCCACGCTTGTCCAGCACCACCGTCGGCCCGGCATTCACACACAGGTACGTGACCGTGCCCAAGTAAGGATGGACGTGAACTTCGTCATCTTCTTCTTTGCCGTAGTCGCGGTCCCAGTGAAAGCCAATGTTGTCGCGGTGGTCAATATGTTGCGACCACCACTCGGCACCAGAGTTGGTCGGGTCAAACGTCATGCCGTCCGTGTGCAAATCAAAGATCTTCTTGGCCAGGGCTTCCATGCCACAGACTGGTGCTTCGCTCGCCTTGACGAAGAACGTCGACCCGAGGCTGTAGTTGTCGCCGTCCTCGACTTCGCGGCACGTGAAGCACGTTTTGCAGTCGTCGATCCATGCATCTCGGCTGTCGGATTGCAGGCCACCGAACAAGTTCAAATAGCTCTTGAACTTCATCGCGGTGCACACATCCTGCTTCGCCTTCGTCGCCTTTCCTCGCTTCGCCTTGGGGCCTCCTTGCGGGGGCAACTCCTGTCCGTGCTTGGCCATCGCGAACGTCGTCGAATGCACCATCCACGATCCTTCGCAATTCATTGGCTATTGATCAGCCAATGACAAGCTGGCAATCGTGAAAGCAACCAAAATTGACACCAAGTGCCATGCCGCTCGACGCGCATGGCGTCGTCGGTGGCGAAACAAGCGCGTGACTGCTTCCTGGGGACGCTCTTCTCGCGACGACCATGTGAACAAGCGTATGTTTGGCAAAAACGCGCTTGTCGAAGGACCTGTGGTGGCCGGCATCCAACAACAACACCTTGGCGAAGAACGGCACAATGTTCAAATGCAGGTCGCTTCCAGCACCTTTCCCGACCTCGGGGCCACGCATTTCCTCGGGAAGGCGCTGCTGTGGGTCCCCCGCAACACCAATCTCGCGCTCAACGACGCCTTCTCGTTGGAACTAGGATGGACTTTCGGCCGTGGCTTACCTGTGGCCAAACCAGGACCCGTGCGATGGATGCAACAGTGCTAGCTCTCGTTTTTTCCCAGACGTGGTGCATGGCCCACAAAAGGAAACAGCAAGACCGATGCGCGGCACGGGACGCTCACATCAGCGCTGTCTGCCTCGAAGGGGTCCTGCGCTATTCACGTGGACTGCGATTGCAGAAATCAACGAGTTGGCCCTGCCACGATCACCGGAGTGACTCGGCAAGAATCAACCGACGGACGAATGTAGTGGGGTAGCATTCAGCACAATGAGCACACAAACTTGGTCGCGCAGTATACTGGCGATTGTGTGGCGTGGAGACTCAAATTTTGCTGTGCCATGGACTAGAAGAGGGCGAGGCTGCCCCCAAGTGTCATTCTCTGCAATTATTCTTCCATCAAGCGAGGTCCGTATGAGTTCAATGTAAAATGGTGGTCGACGGGCGTAGGGTCGTGGGGCATGTCGAACGTCGTTCGCTTGCTCAGCAACTTAAATGTGACGCTTTCAACTCCAATATCTCGTACGATAATCCGATTGAAGGTACACCCCGTAAGTGTTGGTACAGTTTTTGCTATGGGCCAGTCGTCCCAAGCCAAGTTCAGCATCGGCCAGCAAGTCGTCATGTACAACTTGTCCGATCTGTGGATCATGGACGGCTGGGGAGTTTCCTCGATTCGGTCAAGGGCACTGGAAAGTCTTCTTATTCAAAGGCGAATTTGGCACGCTGGCGCTCCATGCAGGCATTGGCTCGACTGTACGCATTCAAGTCGCGACGACGAAAGTCCCGTCGTGAGTCTAGTTCTGTGCCATTGGGGCGTCGCGATGTCATCGTCGTACCAGTGCACGACGGTCGTGGCGGTAGTGTGGACGTTCAGTGTTGGCGAACAGTTTTCAACCATCGGTCGCAGTTCTGGCTTGGGATTTTTCAGCCGCGTGGTGTTGGTGTCGTGTGGGTTGGTCGTCTCGTCATCGCTCTGCGTGGCATTTCGCAACAACTGCCACGTTGAGGACCATTCAAGTCGACATGGCATCAACAGAAGACGGTCAGGTACGCCAGCCCCACGCGTCGTGGGTCGCATGCATCAAGACTGTGATGACATACATGTCGATCATGATCTTGTGGAGGTATCGGCCGCGTTCATCGTCAACAATGCACCAACGAGTTCCGGTCACGTTTGACCAGCTGGACCGGTACCTTGCATGGCAGTACCCTCGAACGAATGATCCAAACCTTTGGGCGGCAAGTTGGATGGCTTGTGTTGGTCAACGAGGTGTGCATGGAGCGTCGCCACTTCCGCCAAAAGTCGATCCATCCATGTGATCTTTGCAATTACCGACGTCATGTCGGTGGCGGCACGACAACGACAATTACCACACATCCACGCACGTGCATGGAAAACTGACGTGTGCCGTGTCGGGGCCTGGTGCCGTGTGATTATCGGGTATCAAGCAATGGATCGTTTTCATGGTGAACGCTCTACGCGATTGGATTTCGCTGCAAAATACATCGTACGACCGAGCCCAACAGTCGATACGTACACGCACGTCCTTCCCTTCGGCAAGGCAGCTTTCGACGGTTGCAATATCCTCCCTGCGCAGTGACTTGTTTCTCTTCGGTAAATCTCTCTGGTAAACAAGGACGCGGCGACCGCAATGAAGTCCGTCCAAGCATGTCAACGCGCACCGTCCTTTCTGTCGAGTGTGGGTACACTCACAACATGGAAGCCGTCGCAGGTGGCGCAGTGTTTGTGTCAGAAGCAAATGCCATGCAGGACAACGATTTGTTCTGGTCCACCCCCCTTCAACTACGTACCGTCGGATCGGACCGACTTGTGCAAGTCCTTTCAACACCTGGAATCGTCATCCAATGTGAACACATCAACGTCGACGACTCTACAGAGCACACGTCGAGAAATTACAACGTTTGAGTGCGAGCTTCATGGAATCCAAAAATGTGCCAGCACTTCATGGCCGGGTTGGCCTGTGCAATTGCGCAACACTCGACGTTTTCCCGCGTCTTGAACCGAATTGCATGCGTCGATGGGCTTTCCAAGTCGGTCGACCAAACAAATCTCGTTCGCAAATGGAAAAGGTCCCATGCGCGAGCACGACGCACGTTTTGTCGAGTTGAGCGAATGGATTCCTTTGCCCAAAGCCGACACGGGCGTGGAACGGCACCCAACTTCGACTGCCGCCCTCCTCTCGAGCTTGGTCGTGGTCAGCACCGCCGAGACCGCCGTGCGCTATCTCGGCATCCAAAACGTGGCGACGGCATGCCATCGCACGGCCATTGCTCGACGCAGACGCGCATCCCGTGCCTGACCGGTTTATCCATGCAGTCCCGTTGCTTGGATAAAGGATGCACAATTATTGCCTCAACCTTTTGTCAACGCCATGGCGACCATTGCTCGAGCCAAGACGACATGACCGCATTGTCCACTTGGTACGCCTCTTTTAAACACACGGAAAGAAGAAAAGGGGTCCCTAATCGTGGCTGAACAACTTGCTAAGTCATTGCAGACGCCAGCGCCATCTCGCTGCACGAAACCAACGGTGCTGTGCTCATCGGTCCCTTCCGTCCCGCTCAGGCTCAACTCCCTCCATAATTGTCTCAACAACCGATGAGAAGGCGATGCAGGCACCCGAATTCCGCCATGTGAAGGAGGGCGTACGCGCAAAGATCATGTATGGACAGGTAAACAGATCGACAAAAGAAATTGACTTTGCCAAATCCATGCGCGTAGCCAACGGTTCGTCGTTGCGCTATAGTGCGGTCATGCCAGCATCATCATCTTGTGAGGTCAGTGCGGAAGATGCAAGAGAGTTATGGGATGGTGGCTGCTGCGCCTCGTGGGATGCCAAGGTTGGAGATTTGCTTGCAGTAGACGTCCAGGATTTCGTTTTCGGACGTGCCCATCGTCTTGATGGCCTTGATGCGCCGGAGTTGTTCGGCGGAAAACCCCAGGAGCAGCTCTTCCTTTGTCAGCGGCTCACTGAGGATGACTCCACAATGACGTCGAACTAGAACGCGCCGTTGTCAGGTCACGCCACACACGTCGATATCCCAGGACGTACTTTCAATGCTGGCTTGAATGTCGTGGTCGCATATCCCGAGCTTCTTCATGCCCTTTTCCAGCCGCATCGTTTCCGACGTCACGCCCAAACGCGTCAGCACTTTGTTTGTGTGAAGACTGCCCATGGTGCGGTTTCGCTGAAGCGATGCCACTGGCGTCGACGACGCCTGAACCGGCGACATTGCGTGATGGACCGAACGCAGGCTGTTGCTCCGGCGCCGAGCCTTTGTTTTGAACTGGACTGCTCGTCCTGGCTTACTCGGCGCGTGGTTGAAAGCCGTCCTGTCACTGTCGACGACACGATTCACACGATCTGTCATAACGAGGACAAAGGTGCAGATAAGTTTACTTGCCTGGGAACGTTGTCGCCTGGTGGCACGAGGGTCGGCAAGTTGGACGGCACAGCCAGGTCCCTTGGCGAGGGCCAATCCGCGTCTTGGTGCGGCGGATCGCTGCCTCGAACGGTTCGCAGCTCCAAGTCCGAGGCATCTGCCGGTCCGCACTCTTGTCTTGGGGATTGCAAGTGAAGTTTTGGGAAGCTGACGTCACCAGGAGGGGCGGGGTCTCCTGCAGCGGCAGGCTCCATCGCGCTAGGCAGACGACACTTGCCTCAGACTGAGGCCAAAGGCGGTATATTTAGCTCGCGAGCTGGCGTTTCACCTGCATGAAGCAGCAACTAAGCCAACTGGCTTACCGAATGGTCTGACCAGCCAGAGGGTGGTGGCAGGGGCGTGTCAGGAACGGGCAAACCTTCTTGTGCAATGGATGCAAGCCCCGAGAGAGCGCGCCAAGCATGGCTGCCGCCCGCGGTTTGGGTATATTGGTCTGAGCGGAGGACGAGATGAAGGGCACGCAGGTGTCGCTGTGGATTGTGTCGTGGACAAGCAGCAAAGGGCCAGGGTTTGAGGCGACCTGGTCGGGAGCATAAAGGTCGACGTAATGATGACGCAGTGCACGGCATCCTTGTCATTGCTTGACACATCGAAGACAACAAGCAATGAGTGTTGACAAAAGAGAGCGTACAACATGCAGCAACGATTTGTTTGATGCTGGACATGACGTGCGACCAGGCATGTCCATCCATCCTCCATCGCGTTGGCGGAGTGCAGAGAAGAGTCTTTTCGGAGCTGCACGATCACCTGTCCACTTGCGTGCATGCACGGCCGTGAGAATGATTGCCCAGCATCGCATCAACTCGACATCGCCATACACCGCATGATCGCGACGTTCGCTCGCGACGTCGCCACCCAATGCTGGGTTAATTTATGGGTTTTGTTGTCCCCAAAGACACCGCATGGCCCGTCACGACTGGCTCAGCGCCGTCTCGGCTCAGCATGGCCCACGTCTCGATCGACGGCGGCAATCGTAAAGTGGCGACAAGTTACCGCATCCATGGACAGAATGTCATGCCACGACGGGGGAGGGGGTTGGATGGAGCGCGGCGGTGCAAGTGAGACGAGGACAGGTACCCCCGTATTCGACATACCGCCGGACATTGCGAATCGAAATCCCGTGGTCGTCTAGGATTTGGGGACACAATCCAATGGACACAGACGCTTCCGGAGCGCACGAAAACAGGACTTCTTGCGTGGCGGACGGGATGATTCGTTGGATGTGAAGCTTCTCGTTGGCAAAGTTGACGAACCTCGTCGTGTCCAGGGCAGACTCTATGGACGATTCCATCAACTTGACCTCGGTCATGGCGTGTGGCTTCGTCCATTTGTCTTGGTCGGGCCTCAAGTGATTTTTCCTCCTACGCCGTAAGAAAGTACGCGAGCAGATAATCGAGCCGTGCCGCTCCGACGTCTCCTTCGCGGCATCGCGCTTGAGATTTGTATGAGCCGGTGAAGGCCCAGGTTGCCGCAGTTGGGGGCCGGACAAGGTGAATTCAGCGCAAACAAGTTGGCCAACACGTATCCGAGTCATAGTCGCACACTGTTGCGACGTACGAGCCGCACGACGACACTTGTGACAAGGTAAAGCAAAGACCCGTCGTCGATGGGTACGTGGCTGGCGCGTGGGATGCCCAGCGCAGAATGCGCGACCACAAATTGTGTCAAAGTCGACATGGAACATGAAGTGCTCAAAACGGGGGCCGGTCGACAGAGTCATGGCTGGGCTCATGGCGTCCAAAGCCCAATCAACTCGTCCAAGCACGCGATAGGGGCCGCCGGCGTCCGCGTAAGGAGATGGCACTTCATCCCGTCCATGGTGGCTGCCGAGAATCCATGCGTTCAAGGCAACATTGGGCACGACATCATTCCTGGACCCGACAGAACCGCAAGATCATGGCAATCCATGGAGCTGTGCATGATGGCGGCCGGCCAGGGATTCCTTTGGCTTCGGCCACAGTGCCTGGTGAGTGCAAAGTGCAATTGGTTATGTTGCGCAGATTGCAGCCGTTGCCAAGTCTTTTTACCCTAGCAAGGACATCGCCTTCCTTTAATTTGAAGCGAAACCCTTTGGTGGTGTCATTTCCTTTTCAGCTTGTGATCATTCTGGAGAGGAAGGAACGTGGACGTGGGACTGGTTTGCGTCACCGACGGCATGCTCGTCGCGTCGTCTCTCACGTCTTGGCTCCGTCCGGCCGCAGCCCAACATACAAAGAAAGCATTCCTATCGGAAAATAGTGGCTGCTTGACATGGAACAAGAGCAGTGCCTGCGCGTCGAGAACGTCGTCATCGAGTGCAGAGAGAACGCGTCGTCGGCGGCTCTCCTTATTGCATCGCCGATCAAGTTTGAAGAATTCACCCGTTTGAAATGTCCATGTTGAACCTGTCGCACCTGATAGATATTCCAACGCCAAGATTGGTTGCGATGTCGTTTCGGGCCCGCCCCTTCAGCGCGACCCTTCAAACGTTTTGATCCATTGAGCAACAGCATCAAGTTGCCGCATCATGGTAGCGCTATGGATGTGTGTGGATGACGTGGGCGGGACGTTGATGTTCGTGTTGTAGCCGATCGGGTATGGTGCCGAGCCAGAGATGTCTTGGGCGAGTCCCAAGTGCACTGGCGAAGTCCCCAACAAGCGATCAGGGCATACCCTGACGCTGCGCGGGTCCGAAAACACACTATATCTGTTTGGCGGTACCGACCTTGTCGAGGATGTAGCGTGTGTTTTATTGGTTCTGGTGTTGTTGTGCAGGATGCGACCACAAAGTTCCCCCCGGCCCAAGCAACGACCTGTTTAAGCTTGACATGAACGGCGGGTTCAATTGGTCTCGAATCGTCCCCGTGTCGTCGGCGCCGGAGGACACCCCGCCCGCCCGGTGGCGGCACTCGGCGCTGCTCTACAATGACAAGAAGCTCGTCATCTTTGGCGGGTTCGCCGCCGAGAAGCGCATGAACGACCTGTGGGTCTTCGACTGCGACACCAAGCTATGGGAACAGCAACACCCGCAAAACTTTTGGGAAGGATTGCCGCAGTGTCGCGGTTCACACTCGGCAACGTTGGTCGACCACAAAATGGTCGTGTTCGGGGGGTACGGCGGCAATGGGTACGGCCGCACCGACTTCAACGACGTCCACGCGTTGGACTTGAGGACGTGGAAGTGGGAAGAAATCTTGACCGAGGGCGAGAAGCCCGAGCCGCGGTCGAGCCACCAGACGTGCTTGATTCAGAATAAGCTGTTTGTCATCGGCGGATGGAATTCGGTGAAGCAGTTTCACGACTTGTTTGTGCTCGACTTGACGACCAACTCATGGAGCGCGCCCGATGCAAAGTTGCCCGTGCCGACGTGGAATCACTCTTGTGTCGGGTACACTTGCACGATCGTTCGTTCGTCGATCGTCCGTTCATGTCATGGCTAGCGTCCAAGCCGTGCCAAACTGGAAGATCTTTATGTTTGGCGGCAACTCGGGTGACTTGAACGAGTCGGGCAATTCCCAGGTGCGTTGTCGCGAGCGCTCCGTTGTACCCTGACCCTTGCTCGTTGTGACATGCAGGGCACGTACTTGAATCATGTGTCTGTGCTCGACACAGGGTTGATGCAATGGCGGCAGCCGCCGGTAAAAGGCGACTCGCCGTTGCCACGAGCGGACACGGCATTGGTGTACGACCCCGTAGGTTACAAAGTGCTTCTCTTTGGGGGGTGGGCAAACCGATGGTTTGGCGACTTGCACTGCCTCCACGTGAATGAAATCGTCGGGCCGCCGTACTCGGTGTCGGCCATCGTGCCAGCGTCGGGGCCGATCACAGGCAACACCCGAGTCAAGGTCGAAGGCTACAACTTCACTGGAAGCAATGCCAATGTCCGGTTCGCCGTCTCCAAAGGATTCGTCGACGTCCAAGGGCAAGTGGTGTCCCCCACCGCCATTCAAGTCACGACGCCCAACTTTGACAAGTACGGCCCTCTCCAAACCGAAGTTCGCGTCGCCTTGCCTGGCGAATCGTTTACAAACATCAGCACGTCGTACAAGGTGGGTCAATCGACACACGATGCATCTTTTCTCTCTCTCATCGCTCGCGTCCAGTTCCATAGCGTCACGAACGCCGCCAAGAGTCTCGGGTTTGGGCCGTGCTTGATGATGTCGCTGTCGCACCTCGTGATGGCCCAAGAGCCAACGTCGTTTATCCTCCAGGCCATGGACAAGGACGGTGTCCCGCGCGACTGCGGCGGCGACGTCTTTACGATCCAGTTGGTCGAAGCAAAGGAATCGGACAGACTACAAATGGACATCACGACCATCCACGACAAGGGCGACGGCCGGTACATCGTGACATTTGTCCCGCCAGCCCCGGGCAAGTATACTCTCTCCATCACGTTCGAAGGGACGTTCGATGGCGTTGCCGGGCCCATTCGCGGGTCCCCGTTCGCATGCACGTTCCAACCCCCCAGCGACGAAATGACGATTCGATGCGTGCCGTCGATCGCGCGAGAAGACGACTTCAACTCGAGCGACTTGATCCGAAAGCTGTACACCGACACCACCAAACGTGCCGGTGATTTCAAGCGTGTCCTCAAGGAGCTCAAAGTACGTCGAGATGGCCATGGGTGGAAGTGTTGGAAAATGGCATCCATCATTGGTAGGCGGACATCCCGAGCAACGACGTCGATGGGCTCGAAGCACTCAAGAAAATCAAGGACTTGATGCGCAAGCTCGAACACGACCGCGCGGCCAACCAGCTCCTCCAAGAACAAACATCGCACTTTTTCCACTACATGAAGAAGATTGGCGCGCACGTCGACAAGGAAACAATCGACGTCGAGAACCTCGCCAAGCTCTTCCACGACGTCCAAGCGCAGTGTCCCGAGACCGAAGCGCGGATCACCGAGCCGACGCGCATCTTTTCCGAAAAGACCGAGGCCGCGATTGTCCTGTACGAGAAGAAGATCAAAACGTGGGGCGACACGATCAAGACGCTCGACTTTTGGGACGCCAAGCTCGAGCCGGACAAAGCGCTCGAGAAAATTGAGATGCAGCTCGTCGAATTCGACAACGAAAAGAAGCGTTGTGCCGAGAAGAGCGACTTGAGCCTCATCTTTGGATTTCCCCACCTCATGACGGAAACCCACAGGATGATGACCGCGTTACGCAACGAAATTGAAGGTACGATCGTGTAACACTTGCCTCTCGCCGACTGACCATGGAATCGACAGGCTCCAAGACAGTGTGGGCCATCATCAAACGCACAAAGGCGTTCTTCATCGCGACGCACGAGATTCCGTGGCTCTCGATCGATTGCAATGCGCTGGCCATGGAGATCTCGGCCACGTTGAAGGAACTGAAGAAGATCCCCAAGGACATTCAGTGGTATGCCGCCAGGGCATTTCATGTTTTGCCGTGCTCACGTCGTGTTGTGCATATGTCAGGTGCAATGCGTACAAGTGGATCTTGAAGGAGTGCCAAGCGTTCGACAAGACGCATCCGCTGCTTCGATGTTTGAGCTCATTGTACATGCGATCGCGCCACTGGAAGCGCATCCAGGCGCTGACGGGCGAGTTCACGCCGCCGGACGTCAACCCGGACCAAAAGCTCGGTTTTCTCTTGAGCAAGCGGTTGCACGAGTACGCGAGCGAAATTGGCGAGATTTGCTACGAAGCGGAAAAGGAGCAAGAGCTCGAGACCAAGCTCGTGGAACTCGAGGACGTGTGGAGCCAAATCGAGTGGGAAATGGTCCCGTATAACCCGACCGCCCCGGAAGATGAGCAAGTGCCGTTGCTCAAGATCTCGGAAGACAATTTCGAGCTGCTCGAAACCAATCAAATCGATGTCCAAACCATGACGTCGTCGCCGTACCAGTCCGAGTTTGAAGGGCGCGTGACCGATATGCACGAAGGTCTGGCGTCCGTGAACGAAGTGGTCGTCATTATCGGGGAAATTCAACGCAGTTGGAGCTACTTGGAGCCGCTCTTTATCCAGTCGGAAGAAGTCAAGAACCAGCTCCCGGCGCTGACGGCCAAGTTTGAGGACATCGACATCGAAGTCCGCAAGAGCTTGCGTGAGGCATGGACCACGAGAAATGTGAAAACAGCATGCACAAAGCAAGGTCTGTTCAAGTTTCTAGAAGGCATTGTCGAGCGGTTGGAGCTGTGCAAGCACGAACTCAAGGAGTTTCTCGACGGCCGGCGTCGACAATTCCCTCGCTTCTACTTCATGTCGGAAGCGGACTTGCTCGACATCTTGTCGAACGGGTCCAACCCGGCCAAGATCATGCCGCATGCGTCCAAGATCTACTTGGCATGCAAGACCATGACGTTGATTCCGAACCCGGGGGGACGACCGACGGCGTCGGCGTTTGTGTCGGGGGTTGGTCAAGAAGTTGTCGATTTTGTCGAGCCCGTGCTTCTCGAAGGCGAGGCCGAAATCTACCTCGAGGCGCTGCTGAAAGCGATGAAGTTCACCTTGTTCAAGCACATCGAACGCAGTTTGGTCTTGTACACGCAAGAACCGCGCGTCGAATGGATCAACTACAAAGACCCGACGGGGAAGCCTCTCGACGCGGCGCAGATCATTTTGTTGGCGGCCGGCGTCCATTACGTGGCTGAGGTCGAAGCGGCATTCACGGCTATCGCCGGCGGGGACAAGGAAGCGCTCGTTCGGTACAACAAGAAGCAGGAAGGACAGCTCGAAGACTTGATTAAGCTCACTCAGAGCAAAATTTCCAATGCCGAGCGCCAGCGCGTCATGTGCTTGATCACCATGGACGCCCACGGGCGAGATATCGTGGCCAACATGGTGCGCGCTGGCGTCGACGTTGCGTCGCATTTCATGTGGCAATCGCAACTCAAGCATTATTTCAGCCCTGCCCAGGGCAGCTTTTTGAACCGCGATCAAGCGTTCCGCGGCACCAACAACTCGCGCGCCCAGATCCTCATATGCGACGCTGGTATTCCATACGACTATGAGTACCTCGGCAACGGACCGCGGCTGGTGATCACCCCGCTGACGGATCGCATTTACGTGACAGCGACCCAAGCCCTCAACCTCAAGATGGGATGTGCGCCGGCCGGTCCTGCAGGAACCGGCAAGACCGAAACGACCAAAGATTTGGCCAACGCATTGGGAAAAGCTTGTTACGTGTTCAACTGTTCGCCTGAAATGGACTACAAGAGCCTGGGCAACATCTTCAAAGGCCTGGCGTCGTCGGGGTCGTGGGGATGCTTTGACGAATTTAATCGCCTTGTCCCGGAAGTCTTGTCGGTGTGTTCCGTGCAGTTTAAGGCCGTCTGTGACGCGTGCAAGGCGGACGACGAGCGATTCATTCTCGAAAACGAGCCCGTGATGCTGGACCCGACAGTCGGCGCATTCATCACGATGAACCCGGGGTACCTCGGGCGTTCCGAGCTCCCGGAAGGGTTAAAAGCGCTCTTTCGTCCCATGACAGTCATGGTGCCCGACTTGGTCTTGATCTGCGAAAACATGCTCATGGCAGAAGGATTCACGCAGGCCAAGATTCTCGCGTCCAAGTTTTATGGTCTCTATTCGTTGCTCGGGCAACTTTTGTCCAAGCAATTGCACTACGATTGGGGTCTTCGCGCAGTCAAGTCGGTGCTCTGCGTCGCCGGGGCATTCAAGCGCGCCGAGCCCGACATTCCCGAGCCCGACTTGCTCATGCGTGCATTGCGCGACTTCAACATTCCCAAGATCGTTGTCGAGGACAACGTGATCTTCTTTGGGCTTCTCGGGGATCTCTTTCCCCGCAACGACCCCAACATTGACGTCCGCAACGACCCTCCTCGCAAACGCGACCCCGAGCTCGAATCGATGGTCCAAGGGGCGTGCGAAGCGATCAACAACAGGTACTACAACTACATGGCGTGGTCAGTGCGATGGCATTGACACTTCACGTAGTCCTCGCGACGAGTTCATGCTCAAAGTTGTCCAGTTGTCCGAGTTGCTCGCGATTCGGCACTGCGTGTTTGTGATGGGACCACCGGCGTCCGGGAAGACGGAGACGTGGAAGACGCTGCGAAAAGCTCGAGAAATCATGGGAATTTCGATGGAAGTGCAAGATTTGAACCCCAAGTCGGTCTCGACCAACGAGTTGTACGGGTACATTGTGCTCAAGACGAGGGAATGGAAGGATGGATTGCTGAGTAAGATCATGCGCGACTTGGGGTCGCGCACGAAGGTAGAGAGTTCTCGCGCTTCATCCATTGCAGACCGTGATGCTGTGGTAGGAAAATGGCGAAGATGACACGTCGCCCAAGTGGATCCTCCTCGACGGCGACTTGGACGCCAACTGGATCGAGTCGATGAACTCGGTCATGGACGACAACCGCATGCTTACGTTGGCATCGAACGAGCGTGTGCCGCTCAAGTCGCACATGCGGATGATCTTTGAGATCCGAGACTTGGTGTACGCGACGCCGGCAACAGTGTCTCGAGCCGGGATCTTGTACATCTCGGCGACGGAAGGGTACCAGTGGCGGTGCTTGATCGACTCGTGGCTGCTGCGGCACTGCACGCCGGACCCGACCAAGAAAGCAAACCAGCAAACCATGTTGTTTTCGCCCGAGATTCGCGACAATTTTCAGGGACTGTTTAACCAGTACTGCGACCCGACGCTCAAGTTTTTCAAAAAGAAGCTGCAGCCCGTCATTCCCGTCGAAGACGTCACGTTGATCGGCAACTTGCTCAACATGCTCGACTGCTTGCTCACGCCGGCGGTCCTGGCCGACTACACCGTGATGCAAAACAACTTTGTCTTTTGCTGTGTGTGGGCGTTCGGGTCCATCTTGACCGTGAGCGACGACGGCACGGACTACGCCGCCGAGTTTAGCACGTGGTGGAAAAATACGTGGAAAGACGTCAAGATCGTCGCGAGCGCCAACAACACTGTGTTTGACTTTTGGCTCGACCCCGAGTCGTCCAAGTTTAACCCGTGGAGCAAGTCGCCGTACTTTTACACGGCCACGTACAAGAGCCCGGACCCGATCAACCAAATCACGGTTCGTTCCCCGACTGCGTTGGATTTCTGCTGACCATGTCCTGCCCAGGTCCCGACCACGGAAACGTGCTCCATCAGCTTTTGGCTCGAGAACTTGATCAACAAGTCGCACCCGATTCTCGTGTGCGGGCCGGCCGGCACCGGCAAGACCCAAAACGTCAACGGCGTGCTCAAGAAGTTGTCCAAGGAGGACGGGACGTCTATCTTCCGCTACGCCACCATCAACTTTAACTTTTACACGACGTCCGCGATTCTCCAGTCTACGATGTTCTCGCACTTGGAGAAGAAGACCGGGTCAAACTTTGGTCCGCCCGGCAAGTTTCGGCTCATCTACTTCTTGGACGACTTGAACTTGCCCGAAGTGGACCCGTACAACACGCAGTCGGCCATTTCCCTCTTGCGCCAGCAAATGGAGTACAAACACTGGTTCGATCGCAACAAGCTCCAGCTCCAGAACATCCTCAACACGCAAATCGTGGCCGGGATGAATCCGACGGCCGGGTCGTTCCTCGTCGATCCGCGTCTCCAGCGACACTTTACCACGTTTGCCATGGGCATGCCGGAAGCGCCATCCCTCGTGACCATCTACGAAACGTTCTTGGGTGGCCATCTCAGCACGTTCACGGGCGAACTGTCTGCGTCGGCGTTTTGGAATTCCCTCATCAAGGCCGCGTTGACGCTGCACACGTCGGTGGTCCAAACCTTCCGCAAGACCGCGGCCAACTTCCACTACGAATTCAACGTGCGCCACTTGTCCAACGTGTTCCAAGGCCTGATCGCGTCCAAGAAGGACCGATTCAACAGCGCCGAGAAATTTGTCCTGCTCTGGCTTCACGAAAGCGAGCGCGTGTACGGCGACCGTCTGGTGTGCAAGGCCGACATTGAAAAGTACAACCAACTCGTGCAACTCCAAGTCAAGCGCAGCTTCCCCACGTGCAACACGTCGCGTTACTACGCCCTCGAAAACTCGTGGCCGTTGATTTTCTGCCACTTTACCAAGGACGGCGATCCCGAGTACGACCAAGTGATGGGGACCAACCTCGAAGACCTCAAGAAGAACCTCGAGATCCAACTGCGTGATTTCAACAACAACGAAAACAACACGGCCATGCTGCTCGACCTCTTTGACGACGCTATCAAGCACGTGGCACGCATTGTCCGCATTTTACGCAACGAATCCGGGTACGCTCACCTGTTTGCTTGCCCATTTCGCTCACTCATGCGTGTGTGAATTATTGGGTAGCCACGCGTTGCTCGTGGGTGTGGGCGGGTCCGGGAAGCGGTCGCTGGCGCGCCTGGCGTCCCACATTTGCGAGTACACTGTCAAGCAGATTTCGATATCGTCCAAGTATGGCGAGAACGAATTCAAGGAAGATCTGCGCAAGATGTATTTTGTCATTGTCGACCAGCTCAGTCGCAGCGAAGAGAAGGGTGGGGTGGTCTTCTTGCTCACGGACTCGCAGATCACGAACGAAAAGTTTTTGATTTACCTCAACGACTTGCTCGCGTCGGGGGACATTCCCGACTTGTTTGCAACGGAAGACATGGACAACATTGTCAACATGGTCCGGCGTCCGTCCGTCCGTTCGTTGTGCTAATGTGGTGTGGTCGGTAGGTTTGCGTTATGGCGGGGACAAAGGACCGGAAGGAAGTCATCAAGTTCTTCCAGTCGGAAATCCGCAAGCGGTTGCACTTGTGCTTGTGCTTCAGCCCCGTCGGCGACGACTTTCGCAGCCGCGCGCGAAAGTTTCCTGCCCTCGTCAACTGCACCGTCATCGATTGGTTCCAGCCGTGGCCCAAGGAAGCGCTGTTGTCCGTGGGCAAGGAAAAACTCAAGGAAATCAGCGACCTCCTTGGCTCGGACGACTCGCGCACCGGCATTGAAAACTTCATGCCGTTTTCGTTTGTGTCGGTGAATCAATGCGCCGAGCGATTCTTCCAAGTCGAACGACGGTACGATCGTGGTTTCATCTCGTTTGACATGGTCCTTACCGTCCACGTCGGCGACCAGATATGTGTACACAACGCCCAAGTCGTACTTGGAGCTCCTCCAACTCTACAAGAACATCCTGCGCAAGAAGGTCAAAGAGTACGCCGGTGCAATCGAACGATTGGAGAAGGGGCTGCAGAAGCTCAAGGACACGGGGGACACGGTCGCTCGGCTCGAGGTCGAGCTCAAGGTCAAGCTAGAGCAAGCCGAGGACAAGAAAGCCGTCGCGTCTGGCATTGCAGAGACAGTCAACAAAGAAAAAGCCAAGGTCGAAGTCGAGTCCAAGAAAGCGTCCGAAGAAGCGGCCAAGTGCGCCATCATCCAAGCCGAAGTCACGGAAAAGCAGAGGTCGACGATGGAAGATCTCGCCAAGGCCGAACCCGCCGTGCAACAAGCCATGGAAGCGCTCGACTCGCTCAACAAGAAAGATCTCGGCGAATGCAAAACGATGAGCAAACCGCCGACCGGTGTGGACGACGTGTTCGGGGCGACCATGGTCCTCTTGGCCGGCGTCCACCCCAACATTGTCGTGACCAAGCAAGGCAAAGTCAAAGATTTCAAGTGGGACGCGTGCAAGAAGCAAGTGCTGGGCAACATTCCAGAGTACATTGAGTACTTGATCAAGTTTAAAGACATTGTCGACGCGGGTCAAGTCCCGACGACGAATTGGAAGGAAGTCCGCGAGTTCCTCGAGAAGGAGCACTTCAAACCAGACATTATTGCGACCAAGAACAAGGCAGCGGCCGGATTGTGCAGTTGGGTGGTCAACATTGTCATGTACTACGACATTCTCATCACGGTCGAACCAAAACGGTATGTGGGACCACCCTTGACGCGTGTTGTTTCTGACGGTCGCGTAGCATGGCCCTGGCGGCCGCCAACTTGGAACTGGAATCGGCCAACAAACGCCTCGGTGAGGTCACTGCGTTGGTCGCTGGTATGCCGTGGCAGTCGTTGGACCTGTGTAGGTGTTGACGTTGTCGTGGCGTAGATTTGCAGGAGAAGCTCGACAAGTTGATGGAGGAAGCGGCGGCGGCCGAAAAAGAAAAGGAAGACGCGATCAATTCCGTCGAGCAAGGGAATCGCAAGATGAAGCTGGCCGGCACGTTGACCAAAGACCTGGGGTCGGAAAACGTCCGATGGGGCATCAACGTCCTGCAGTTGCAAAAGGAAAAAGATTTGCTCGTCGGCGACTGCCTCCTCGCGTCCGCGTTCATTTCGTACATTGGCCCGTTTACCAAGCCATTCCGCGACGAGCTCATCAACAAACACTGGGTCCCGTACCTGCGGAAAGCGGCCAACGGCAACAGTATCGCGATGAGCGAAGAGAGCAATCCTGTGTACATCTTGACGAACGATGCTGAGATCGCCGAGTGGAATACGCAAAAACTCCCTGCCGACCGCGTGTCGACGGAAAACGGCGCTATCGTAGTCAACACAGTTGCTATGGGTATGGAACCCTTTCATTTCGATTTCGCTTGACGTCGAACGACTAGGGCGACGGCCACTTATCATTGACCCCCAGCTCCAAGCAATTGCGTGGATCCGGGAAAAGGAAGCCCCGTACAACCTCCAAATTGTCCGAATGGGCCAAAAATTCTGGATCGACAAGCTCAAATCCGCGATCGGGACGAAGACCGCGTTCTTGATTGAAAACTTGGGCGAAAAGATTGATGCGATCCTTGCGCCGGTCATTCAGCGAAGCACGTCCAAGCGTGGGAACCGCGTGGAAATCGTGATCGGCGACGCGTCCGTCCCGTACTGCGAAGAATTCCGCTTGTATTTGCACACCAAGCTCGGGAACCCGCACTACCCGCCGGAAATTCAAGCAGAGTGCACGATGGTCAACTTTACCGTGACCAACTTGGGGCTCGAAGACCAATTGCTCAACTTGGTCGTGAGCAAGGAGCGGTCCGACCTGGCCATCAAGCGCGAGAAGCTCATCCAACAACAAAACCAAGGCAAGATTGAGCTCAAGAAACTCGAAGACATCATTTTGCAGTACTTGGCCGAAGCCGACGACGACATCACGAGCAACCAGCCCTTGATTGCGATTTTGAGCGACACCAAGTACAAGGCCCAGATGACGCAAACCAACATGGAAGCCGCCAAGAGGACGCAAGACAGCGTCAACGTCACGAGCGAAAAGTACCGCAGCATTGCCGCCCGCGGCTCGCTGCTCTTTTTCCTCATGAACGACCTGTCCAAAGTCCACTCGTACTACATTTACTCGCTCGCGGCGTTCCAGAAGGTGTTTCTTCAAGGGATTTACAACCTGCCTGTCGTGAAGGAGGTCGAGGACCCGCCGCCCGCCGACGGGGACGTCCCAGCGGAGGTACCGCCCGACGGAGGGGCTCCTGCCCCTGGAGACGAGCCGTCCACGGATCTGTCGGACGAAGACATTGAGAAGCGATGCAAAGGTAAACACCCCGACCTACCGTGTCTCGATGGATTGCGGTGGCATCCTAACCTGTGACGTTCGCGACTACCTTGTAGCGCTCATCATTTCCATCACAACGTGCGTCTTCGACTACATTCGTCGCGGTTTGTTTGAACGCGACAAGCTCACGGTGGCCACGATGCTGTGCCTGAAAATCCTCGTGCGCGACCAAGTCCTGAGTGACGTGGAGATCGAAACGTTCTTGCTGGGCAAGTCGGTCGCGGATCCGGGGAACATGGGGGTGTTGGCCGAGTGGCTGCCAGCGTCGTGCTTTGCCAAGCTCAAGGCACTTGAAACGATGAAGGTGTTTCACAACCTCGGGGACATTATGCAGAATGAACCCGACGAGTGGCGAAAGTGGTTTGCCGCGGAAGATGCCGAGGTTGCCAAGTTGCCGGGTGACTTTAGTAAACTGTCGTCGTTTTCCAAGATCATTCTCCTCCGCGCCTTGCGTCCCGATCGAGTCACGAACGCGCTGCGGACGTTTATTTTAGAGTCGCTCGGGGAGCAGTACGTGTCGCAGCCCCCGTTTGACATGGTCAAGACATTTGAAGAAACGAACCCGGCGATCCCAATCTTTTTTGTGCTGTTTCCGGGGGTAGACCCGACGCCATGGGTCGAGAACCTTGGCCGAACCAAAGGCATCAGCGTCGAGAACGACAACTTTATCAACATTTCGATGGGCCAAGGGCAGGAACAACACGCCGGCGACTGTCTCAAGAAACTCGCGACCAAGGGCGGGTGGATCATTTTGCAAAACGTGCACTTGATGCAAAGCTGGCTGCCGCTGTTGGAACGTCAGCTCGAAGAAATCGTGGCGGAGGGACCACACGACATGTTTCGGTGTTTTATCTCGGCCGAACCGCCGCCAATCTTGCTGCCGTTGGAGCTCAACGTGCCCGAGTCGCTCATGCAGTCGTGCATCAAGGTGGCGAACGAAGCGCCGTCGGACATTCAGTCCAACTTGCGCCGCGCGTGGGCAACGTTTGGCGACGACAAAGTCCAAGCTAGCACCAAGCCCACCGAGTTCAAAGCGTGTTTGTTTTCGCTGTGCTGGTTCCACGCGATTGTGCTGGGGCGGCGGCGATTTGGTCAGCAGGGGTGGAGTCGAGCGTACAGCTTCAACACGGGCGACTTGACCATTTGTGGCAACGTTCTCATGAGCTACCTCGACAACAACGAGCAAGTGCCGTGGGACGATCTCCGGTACATCTTTGGCGAAATCATGTACGGCGGGCACATCACGGATTCGTGGGACCGCCGGACAAACAACACGTACTTGACCGTGCTGCTGAATCCCGGCCTTCTCTCCGGGATGGAGCTCGGCCCGGGCTTCAAGAGCCCCAACCCGGCCGAGTTTTCCTTTCACGACTACGCGCAGTACATTGAGAAGAACATGGTGGCGGAGAGCCCGCCCCTGTTTGGGCTCCATCCAAACGCCGAAATCGGGTACCTCACGACCACATGCGAAACGTTGTGTTACGCGATCGTGTCGATTGGTGGCGGGGGCGGCGGCGGTGGTGGCGGGGGCGGCATGGACAAAACGGCCATGTTGAAAGCCTCGATTGACGACTTTGAGGCGCGGACGCCCGAGTTCTTTTCCATGTTGGATTTGCAAGAAATTGCGGCGCCGCGGCTGACGGCAGACCATGGTCCGTTTGTTGTCGTGGCAATGCAGGAGTGCGATCGAATGAACGTCCTGCTGGACGAGTTGCGCAAGTCGCTCGCGGATTTGAAGAAAGGTTTGAACGGACAGCTCAACATGAGCCAAGCGATGGAGGACTTGGCGACAGCGATTGGCCTGAACGAAGTCCCAGGACGCAATCCGTTCTCCCAGTGCAAATGGGAAAAGAAAGCATGGCCGTCCAAAAAGTCGCTGAGCGGTTGGTTTGTCGACATGATCAAGCGCCACCAGCAACTGCAAGTGTGGTCGGTCGACTTTGTCACGCCGTTTGCGCTGTGGCTCCCTGGCTTGTTCAACCCGACCGCGTACACGACGGCGTGCCTCCAAGTGACGTCCCGGCGGAAAATGTACGTGGCACCCCCCCCCGTGGTCTTGCTGTGCATGGCTCATGGGGTTGCCTTTGTAGGATGCCGCTCAACAAGATGACTGTTGAAACGCACATGACGACGTTTGGATCGGTGGACGCGGCAAACTACTACCCGGACGACGGCGTGTTTGTGTTTGGTCTGTACATTGAAGGCGCGCGATGGTCGACTTTGGACGAGGTCAACAACCGGTACAAGGTCGGTACGTCGCCGACAACGGAATGCGGCGGCGTCATCGTGGACTCGAACCCAAAGGAACTGCTGTGGATGATGCCGGTCGTGTATGTCAAAGCGGTCGAGACCAAACCGTTGTGGGAACCGACGAGTGTGGGGTACCTCCGCCACGACCCCCTCGTCTACGAGTGTCCGGTGTACCTCACTCGATTCCGAGGCCCGACGTACGTCCTCCTGGCGACGTTGCCCACGGACTGTGGCCGGGAAAAGTGGGTCCTGCGCGGCGTCGCGTTGTTGTTTCAAGACGACAATTAGGGGTTGGACGGTCGTTAATCTATATTGATGTGTCGACGACAGGTTGGGCATGGCGATGTCGAGGCATATTGGATGGACGGGACGAGAACGGCGCAGCACTTGGCGGGCTCGGCGACAACATTCGCACTCGTCGTTTTCGCGCGTTGCACGGAGGATGGTCAAGGTCGCCATGCCTCGAAGCGGCGCGAACGCGTGGCAGCAACAAACGAAAAACGACCATCCTCGCTGCATGGGTTTGGTGGTTGTTGTCAACTCGCTGTGTGCGGTAGAGATGCCGAGTCGGTTGGTTTCGTTTGAATCCATCCTGTTTGGTATGATATCGTTTCGTGGCGCTGTCGAGAGAGCGCCAAGAGCAATTGTGGATAACGACGGAACCGAACGTGGCGATTCGTCAGGTTGGATTTCATTTGGCTTCAAGCGTTCGATGGCGGGCCTCCTGGCTCGACCGACTCGAGGTCGTTTGCCGTGGTGACGTTCTCTGGACTGTCCAGTCTGTCTGCAGGATGGTTGACGATCCAGGTGATGTGGTGCGGTTGGCCTCACAACGCGCACTCGTTTGCGCCGTGGACATGGCACCGAGCTCGTGACAATGCGACCGTTGTGCTCGGATGGACTTTGCTGAGCACCCCTGTCCCACGACACCGTGTCGATGTTCAAGAAGTTGCGATCCACACGACTTGCCCAGGACAGGCAACTCGGTGGGCAAAATGCATCACAAACAACGAGTGGCCGATCGAACACTACAAACGACGACGGTCGATTCATACACCAACTACCACGGCCCTCTACATGCAAACGGACAGAGCGGACAGGATCATGACAGCGCCTGCACCCATCGCCGACGAGGCGGTGCTCGTCTTGGCTGCAGCGGGGGTGGACCCCGAGCTGTTTTTCATCGCCATGCTCGAGCTGGGTGTAGAAGTTGCTGGGAGAATCGTCAACTTGGGGGCTGGGTGCGCGGGATCCGCCAACTTGCCGCTTGCATCCGGCACCGACGTCCACGCGAGCGTGCCATTGGGAGTGGTTTCTTGGGTGACGGGGAAGTACAGCGTCGTGTTGGGAGCGAGGTCACCGACCTTGAGCTGAAGGCCAAAATCCTGAAACAATTCGTCCGGCAACGAGCCATCGTACCACGTGACCCGCGAGATCGCGTCCGTGCCGTTGATTTTCTTGGTGTCGAGCGCGACTTTCCAACCCGCAACCTGTTGCGGCTTCACCGACGCAAGGCCGATGGGAATGTCAATGCTAATGTTCGTCGTCACGGCCCCCGGGAACGAGTGCCCCACGCGAAACACCGCGACAGTGTTGGCATTGGGCGCGGCGACGGGGGGCAAAATCGAAAAGTGCGCCGACGTCGACGTCGCCATCGCGACGAGAGCGGCCATTGCTGTGAACAAGTGCATTGTGTCGGGGTGGTCGGATATACACAAGTGATGACCAACATAATTCGGACCATGGCGACTGGTCCCGTCTGTCGCTCGGGCGAGAGGTGGACGTCGACGTTGCCGGCACACCACACCACAGACGCATGAATCAGACGAGGGGTTCGAGGCGCCAATGACTTGCCAGGACACGTCCCAAGGCACAGCGAGGCGGTGTGCTCGTTCTGAGTACACCCCCAAAGCTTCAAACCTTTCCCATGCCCTGAATATGGTGCCATCAGGTGCCAAGTGCCATGAACTAGCGAGCACCATCATGTACAAGTCAATTCAGCATCACATCCACGCGCTGGCGCTGCAGGACGACGATGTGCCAACACACGGCGCAACCTTGGCTTCGCTGCCGCCTCCATGCATCGACGGCGATGCTGCATGGTCTTGGCCACGACCGTCGTTCGTTTGCAACATAAGTACACGTTCACCGCGACAGCAGTGATGACTCGATCACATCTCGCACTGTTCGCTTGCCGGGATCGGTGCGACGTTGTGCGGTGGGTGTGGAGAGCCAAAACAGGGCCAAGGGCACGGACACCGGTCAGCGATGTGTTTTCTCGACAATGGCGAGGGATCACGGCGCCAGGCAACTCGGTCGGCCATCGTGACGCTTTGCTCGCTGGTTGCATCGACTTGGGAAGTCGACGACGTGAGCTGTGGTCCAGGAATTCATCTGTTCCAGGCGCGGCGACGTTGCTGTGTCGCCGAGTCTAGACGGAACCACACATGCTGTGGATGTCGTTTGCAATAGCAAGGACTGCATGGTCCCAAACACGGACAACACTTTCGTGGACGTTGTAGTCCCACGTGGCGTTGGTTGGTCATCATGCGGTGCCCATGTAGAATGGTGGGCATGTCAGAAGGGCGTATCAATTCCTTTGGTCCGCATGATTTCATGAGGAGCCGCCTCTGGACCTTGACAGGTGGCGAGAGCCATTCCCTGTGGCAACAAGTTCAAGCGACCAGCATGACCAGTCGTCGTTGGCCACGGCCGTATTGTTCGTACTCTTTTCAACATTGTCGACGGCTCGACATCACGAACGTGTGGTACGCGTTGGTCGCAATTGTGGCCTCACAAGTAGAGGACAGTGAATTTGGGGGTGGGTCGGCGAGCATCCCCGTGGCGTCCTGCGTCGATGTCCATGCCAACGTGCCGTTGGGAACTGTGACTTGGGTCCACGGAAAACCAGCTCGACTTGCCGACTTGCTCGGGTTTGACGGATGCAATGCCCACGGGAATGCCGACCGCGACGTTTTTCGTGGTCGCACCAGGGAACGAGTGTGGCACACGAGCCAGCATCGTCAGGCGGCCGTCGTCGGAGGGTTGAGCGAGACATGTGCCGACGGTACGGTCGTCGAGTGGACGACGTGCATCATGCAAACACACGCGGCGGTGTGGACTTGGCAAGACCGATGCACACCCGCCAACGTGACAGCAATTGTTGAACGGGCACGCGATTTCGTGCCGGATGCACATGTCGTGACGAGCGATTCCAACTCAAGCACGCCAAGGCATGCCGGAGCGCTTGTCTACTGGTTCGTGGAGGAGTCAAAGTAGATGCTGCCGATGTCGCGACGAGCTAGCGGCGTGACCACGTTCTCTCGGACACGGGGTGAACGAGATGTTGGCACTAAATCGATGGATATGGTCATGGGTTATATATATGTCATGACGTGAAATGGAAAGGGGGTCGGCGGCGGGTGGTGGCGTGATGGGGACAGTGTACACGGATGCGAGGGGCATTGGGTGGTGCTCGCTGGCAACGGGGACGCAAAGGCCAGGCCATTCATGGCTTCCTTTTGGTTGTCGTTGCGACATGAAACCATGAAAAGGCCATACGATTTCTCAAGACACTTGTCGTCGTGCTCGACCGACCTCGGGCGGTCGTAGTGAGCAGGGACATGGTCCAAATTCGAGTTCGTACACGAGACTTTCGATGCCGTGGCTGGTGACACGCTGGCGGCGAAATCGGCGACGCCAAGGGTTGTCGAGCAGACGTGTCCACTGCAGGGGCTTCAGCATGTCGCAACGCCACATCCATCGAACGATCGCCCATGGCGTAGCTGGCACCATGGAGCTCACCCGGTCGACGGACTGGACGCTGGGGGGGTGATGTAGACAGATCCCGCTGGCAATTGTTGATCAAGTAAGGCACTAAACCGATGAGGCTATGGCAACAATTGCGCCATGCGACAGCGATCATCGTAAACACAACAACGGTGCGCTCTCGGTGGATGCGGCCCTTTCAGTGCCCTCCCCCGTCGTTCGATATCTCACTCGTGAATTTTCCCACTACACACAACATGCACTTGACCACAGCGATGGCGACCGTCGCGGCGCTGGCTACGTCGTCGCTCGCCCACGTTACGCTCAACCCGGCAGTCGCTGCTCCCAACGCATACTTTGTCACGGTTATCCGTGTGCCGCACTCGTTTCCTGGCGCTGTGACCACGAACGTGAGTGTCGAGATCCCGACTGGGGTTCTATCGGTCAAGCCCCAACAAATTGGCGGCTGGAAGGTTGCCACCACAACGACCAACGTCAACGGCACCGACACGATCGCCAAGATCACGTGGTACGATGGCTCGTTGCCGGACGAGCTCTACCAAGACTTTGGGCTTCAATTCAAGGTCAGCGACCTCCCCCTCAACACGACGCTGTACTTCCCCGTGACCCAAGAAACGATCCCCAACGGCACCTTGAGTTGGACGTCGGTGCCGGACGCCACCGGCAAGCTCGCTGATTCCAGCCACCCTGCCCCCAAGTTGACTATCGCCAAAGCTGCGACTGCTGCATCCAGCACGACCACCACCAACAGCTCGGCGACGATCCCCGTCAAATCTAGTGCCGCCACGGCCATCATTTCCGTGGGGACTGTCATGCTCGCGATGTTGTCTGCATTCCTGTAGTAGAATACCAATGGGCATGTGTGTAGCTCCGATGAAGTCGTTCAATATCAACGGTATACCCTCCTTCACTCTAGACTCGTTTCCAAGCACTCTAAACGGAGTGCTTGGCAGCATTCGCAGCTCAGTGTCGTGGATGCAGTAGACTCTCTCCAGCGACTCTCGTCCTCAGCGCTGCGTTCTCGGCACCATCCACATCATTTTCCCCTTGGGCTAGATGATCGATCCCGACAGCACTCATGACCGTGCATGAACCCTGGTTCGTGCGAATGCACAGCGTTCTGCAGAGCAGATGCGCCACCGCCTCGCCTTGACTCCGTGCAACGACGTGATACTTGATCGAGATGTTGAAACATGCAGCGAAGACAGTGGTACAAGCCTTGCTCAACTCGACCCTCGCGTAACCCTTCGTGAAAGGGCCTCGCCTTTGGTATCATGCTATCGCACATATTCGTGCAGCCGTCTCACCACGACGACGGCGGGGGGGGCAATGGAATCTCGTTCCCAACATCGCTAGCAACAAGCCACGACCAAAGCCCCAAACGCAGATCCATGCACTACCGATGCAGTGCTTCCAGGAAAGCGTCGAGGCGCGATCCACCCACGTTGCCACCGCCGTTTGCGCATACTCGGCCGCATTGTTGCCACAGGATCGTTCTTGTGTGGGTTCATGCATCCGGATGATCGGTTTATCCGGACACCCGGGCTTGCGAGCTTCCCTCATTTGAAATCTTTGGTCGTCGCCGTCATGTTGCAACGTTTGCGGCGGTCGGTGGCGGCTGTAGGCGGCAGTCGGCGACTCTTCAACTCGGACGTCGCGTCCACGCGCATTCATCGGCATGTGATCGCTGCACTCGTCGTGAACCAAGCGGGGACGTTGGCCGAGATTGCAAATCTGTTTGCAGCACGAGGATACAACATTGACAGCCTTGTGGTCGGTCGCACTGACGTGCCAGAGCTGAGTCGCATGAGCGTCGTCGTGCACGCCACTGACGCCAATGTGTGGAACATGAAGAAGCAGCTGGATGATGTCGTCCAAGTCGCAGCGGTCAAGATTCTGTCGGCACAAGTCGACGCGAGCGAAAACCTCATTGAGCGCGACTTGATGCTTGCCAAAGTGTCGACGCGTTTGCCAGGCTCTCGCGCCGAAATCACAGAGCTTGCAAACTTGTTCGATGCCAAAGTGTTGGATGTGACGCCTACACAAGTTATGGTGCAACTGGCCGGCACCCCTGCACGGATCGAATCGTTCCTCGAGTTGTTGAAGCCACTCGGAATTGTCGAAATCCACCGAAGCGGCGTCATCGCGATCGACCGCGCCATTTGCGTCACCGACCCGACCGTCGAAATTGCCTTTGATCGCCATCCCCAAGAAAACCCCGACGTGGACTCGACTATGCTCCCTCCAGGATAATCCATTCTCTCTCCACCAAATGACTTAATTTGTGCCACGCCATGTTAGCTCTCGTTGCTCTAAAGTCCTGCAGCAGCGACGCACGAGTTGCTCGGCAACGGCACGACATCGACGTGCGGACATTCTTCAAGGCACTGTGGCCGTGCCCAATGCTTTGCGAACACATCAAGGGTGTGGCCGCACTGAACTACGCATCGCACGATGGACATGCAAACTTGCGTGCTGAAGTCGAAAAGTGCACAAGGACAGCAGTCCATGGCGCTCGGAGTTTGGCGCCGCTCGTGGGCACAGTCAAATGTAGGGGACGACAGACACAGCCCGCCAAAACCGTCTGCATCTGCGCCTGCTGCGGGTATGCAAGTCGTGCGTGGCATAGAATACTCCGCAATCTGCGCTACCCCGTGGCCAGCGAATCCATCGACTCGAACCCAAGGTGAGCACTGTGTGGTGTTCACGCTTGCTCCAGTCGCGGACGAGGTCATCGTCGGTCCCATCTTCTGTATGTTGTGCTTGGCTGGCGGTACACCAGCACAGTATGCCAGAGGTTTCAGGTACCCAACAGCTACCGTTGTTACGAGGAAGGTCGTGTAGAGGAGTTGGTCCGCTGACCATTGGGATGAAAGCTTTTCACATCGGGCGCGTTGGGCGCGACGGTGGCAGATGTGTACAGTCGACCATGATCGACCAGTGCACACTGCAGTTCTCAGCCCTCTCGTCGACAAACCCCTCAAGGGACAGCAGTTCCACTGCCGCCGCGCCGTGGCTCACGTCGCGCTCGATCCAAACGGCCGTACTCGACGAATTTGCAAACTCTCCCTTGGCACGGCCAACTCCGACGCCGATTTCGCCAAATGCAGAACATATGATCGAATGAATGCTAGATTTTCACGGGATATGCGGGTGCGTGCTTTGTCATCTATCAGTGGCCTGCCTGTAATTATGGTGACCACAATTTGTTTTGCGAGGCACAGCTTGAACTTGCGTGGAAATGGCGGCCATGGACGCGTCCCCTATTCGCTAACTTGCCTGCCGACCACCCATGCATGCGCTCGGACGGTGCCGCCATCGCGCGTTCTCGGCGCTCGCCACCACTTCGCCCCCCACTCTGCCGCTCGTGAACGGTGTGACACGCCACGTTGTCGCCGCCCTCGTCGCGAACCAAGCCACGACCGTCGCCGAGATCACCAACCTGTTTTGCGCACGCGGATACAACGTCGACAGTATTGTCGTTGGCCGCACGAATGTCCCAAACCTCATTCGTCTCAGTGTGGTTGTCCACGGCACAGACCACAATGTGCACATGATGCAGCAACAGCTCCACGACGTTGTCCAAGTCGCCGCCGTCAAGAACTTGACCGCGCCGAATCGACCGCATGAAACGACCCTGGTCGAACGCGACTTGTTGCTAGCCAAGGTGTCACTGGAAGCTGACCCCGACGCGTCCCTGCTCGTCGATCGGATTGTTGCGCAGTTCAATGCAACCGTTGTGGACGCGACCCGTACGCAAGTGATGGTTCAACTTACGGCAGATCCTCTGTCCGTTGAGGCATTCCTGCAAGCACTAAACCCGCTCGGCGTGCTGGAAGTCCACCGAAGCGGCGTTGTTGCCATGGACAAGGAATGCCCCGTCACCGCCGAACGCGCACTAAACGTCTCGTTCGACCGGCATCACCCTGGAGACATGGACGCCGTCGACAGCACGATGTTGCCCCCTGGATAGCTTGTGTCTTCGCGGTGGTTGAAAGAACGTATGTAAATATAGAGGTGATTTTGGAGAATAAAACGCCTGGTAGACACTATTTTAAATGGATTTTTAATGCGTTGGGTGTCCCCGGGTCGTCACAAACAATATCATGAAGCGAGGTGAGTGGTTAAAGTGCGATGTGTTAACGAGATGCCTGGGATGCCTCTGCTCATTATTGAGAAAGCCCCAAACGTTTATCCGCGCTGAGCAGCTTTTCTGTACCATATTTGGAATCTCTCTATGAAGGAGGAAACCAACCCATGGTCTGTCCATGCCTCGCCTTCAAACACGTATTTGCATGCCATGGAGAATTGAGTATATTAAGTTTCACAGTAAAACGCGCTCGATTTCCAAAGTTCATGAAAAAATATATCGGCCATGAGCTTCGTGACCAAAGCAAACCACAAGCGATGCCTGTGGGTCGGCGGCCTCGACAAGGCCGTGACGGAAGACATCCTTCGCGCGGCTTTCGTTCCATTTGGACCGCTCAAGGACGTTCAGATTCCCATGGACTTCACCGGCGCGAACCGTACGTCCACCATGATTTCCTCGTCCCGACGAAGGGTTGCAATGACACGTAGAGCAAAACAAGGGATACGGGTTTGTCGAGTTTGACCTGGAAGATGACGCGAAGGAAGCGCTGGACAACATGGACGGTATGTAATGCAGTCGGCCAAGTATGTTTTCACGTGGGTTGGTGTAGACTCGGAGCTGTATGGCAAAGTCCTCAAGGTGAACATTGCCAAGGCCCAGTACAACGAACACCAAGGAAATCGCGCAGTGTGGGACCAGAACCTAGACGACAAAGAACCCGATGAAGAAAACAGTACCAAGCCGTCGAATGAGACCGCAGCTCCAGCTACATCGACATAAGCATCACACAAACGTCGCATTCACGACCTGAGGTCTTGGGCCGACATATAGACTCTCCCCCTCGCACGACCATGTCATGTCCACAGGCCAATTCGAGTCACTATGTACTCTACGCACGCCACTTTGTCGTGTATGGCAGGCCTCGCATGATTCCTTGTACTCATGATGTGGCTGCAGTGTCCCGCGACCGTATGTAGTGTGTTTGTGCTTCCTGTGGAGTCCTCTTCGATTAAGGAGGAGATGGAGTTGGAAGAAAAGCTGGCGACTGCATGACGTTAGACCTCGTAGCAATCTTGCAGGTTTGGTTCGCTCGAGTGTTGCACACACGATTGCCATCTCGCGCCCGGACAAATTCATGCCTGGTTTCTCCGAAATGCCCAAATCATGGGTGTCATCGCCCCATCCAGAGTTTCGATACGGGCGGCGATGGATGTGTAGAGCGCTTATTCACATGCTTGTACATCCAATGTGAAGTGATAGGTGGAGGGCAGGCAGTGGCTTGACGAACAGTTTCCACAGAATCAATCAAGAACTGGCCATGCCTCACTACTCAGTTCAGCCGCCCAAACGGCCGCGCACCACAACATTCTCTGCCTTTGCCAAGTCAACACTCGACGCCCGCGACGCTTTTCGCCGTCGCCATTTGTACCGTGGCGCCTCCTCTACGTATCGTTCAAAATTGTTACAAGGTTCGGTGATGGTTGACCGAGTAATGTCCATTGCAACTGCAGACTTGCAAGTGATGCATGCTGCCGATCCTTGCGGATCGTAGAATTACGAGCTGGTAGCTACTGTTGTCGAGATGAAGGCAATACGCTTTATAAGTTAGAGATGCAACAGATGAGAGCGACTCGAAGAAGGCGACGACGCAGCTTGTCGCTGTTTGCGCAGTTCGCGGAGGTAGTGCATTTCGCGGAGGAGTTGGTTCACATATGCGTAGTCGACGTCGCACTCCCTTGCAGACTTGGTCACTGCACCATTCAACGCCGCGCGGCAATGATGCTGGAACCCTTGATCGGCTCGGCCTGGTTCATCCGACCCAACTGGCATTGGGCTCGACGAATTCCTCGCGTGATTGTGGTTGATCTTGAGGCGCTTCAGCTGGTGCTCGACCACGGCCTCGTGCTCACTAAGCGTCCGCTTCAGCTCCATGTCGCGCCCAGAGAGGTTGTCGTCGGCGTCGTAACTGTCCATGTCCACATCGTACATGCCGCGCTGTGCAACGAGCGAGCACAATGGAAGAGAACACAGTAAAATTCCCGGATAAATTTTGGTGGAAATTCCTCGAAAGCAATACTACCTCTGTTCCATATTACTGGCGACATTTGATTATCACACTTTTTTTAATAGCTGGCGACATTTCATTCTTATTGGCTAGAAATGATGCATAAATCGATTTTATTGGATAAAATTCCCGTGTTTGCTGGACAATCGGCACTTGGGATGACCGACAGCGGCTCACCGCTGCGTAGCTGCTTCGATAGAGCTGTGTATATGCGCTTCCTAGAGGAAACGCTGCGGGATGCGATAAGCAATTAGCAATTAGTACTAGGACTCTCAAATGTGGAGTATAGTTGAGACGCCAACCCAATCTGGCAAGTGCGTCGCACCTTGTGCATCAAATATTGGACGATCTACATCGTCATATTTAAGACTAGAAATACGATGTACATCGTCGATGGAGACACATTTTCACACCTGAAGGAAGTACAACAACCCCATTAGGGACGCAATCGAAATTCCTTTTATACGTATAACATCCCTGCTCATGCCCTACATGGTAAACGAATCAAAGACAACCTTCATCTATTCATTGTGCATTTCTCCGAAAACACCGCCCCAAACGAGTCCCAGAGGTCAGATAACTCAATGCACCGTCCACGGGTTGGCGCTGGAGAGTCCAAGATGGGCCCTCGACGCCATTCGTTGCTCCATTGCTCCAATGCATGTCGCCATTATACCCGGGACGCATGTCTCACAATGGCCAGCAGCGTGCCGACGTTTTTGCCGTTTATCATGATGTCGCTGGCGCCAAGAATCCGCGAGTGGCTCGTGGGCAAGGAAGGCATTGAGAACGTCAGCCTCGCCGACGTTCTAGCAACGCATCAATGCGAACGAAATCCGAAATCGACCGCATGTACTTGGTCGGGAACATCAGTGGTTCCGACTGCATCACTGTCGGCGACATGATAGACACGGACAGGACGCTTTGCATGACATCGCAGCACCTGTAGGCGTCAGACGAG